ATTTAATTTATACAAATTACAATATCCGACTTTAAATATTAAGATTAAGAATACAGAGATAGACATAAGCAACATAGTACTTGATATAGATGCAGATCAACTCAAGATACCATGTTTTCTGAACATGATTAGATGAAAATAATAAAATAGCTTGATGTAATGTTGTGGCAATGATAAACAGTAAGACTAAACCGCGTGGATTGTATGTGTGAAGATGGAAAAGTATGCATGAAAGGATACTATAATTCAAGATCGAAAGAAAGATAAAGAGTGAATGAATCTACAACACTTTTGAACTATTTTGAGCCATATCACCTCAAGTCTCCAAAAAGCAAGATTATACCATTTCAATTTCGTGATTACGGTAATTAGGTGTACCATCAACTGTTTTAAAGTGAATATTTATGCTCATTGAAAATATCTAGCACAAGTGTTCACAATCCCACACATTCGATAACTATAGCTTGTAATGATAGTAATTAGTTTCAGTGTAGAAAAACAAGTGAATATATGAAGTAACATACCATATGTAGGTGAAAACATTAACTGATACAATTCATCATACAGCTAAACATTTTATTTAAGGTAACCTGCGAATGAATAGTTCATTAAAACACCAACATACACACACATGCAAAATAGTACACATTTCTACATTACTAGAACAATACGACTTCATATATCCCTCACATGAAAACATATTTTCAGAAACTTTCTGTTTTCTACAGAAAATTCTTTTTTACAAATGTTCCACAGCTAAGAGCTTAATTTAATAGTTATTATTCATATTCTTGATTGATATCATGGACTGATCTTTGTTAGACGACTATTGAAAACCAGAACGAGACGGACAGTTGTTCCATCCTAGTAAGAACAGCAAGTGACGTTAACTAAAATAAATTGACGATTTCTACAGGACCCTATACTAATCATTAATTGTTCATTTTTGTACTCGAGTGCTTTTTGACATAATAATTATGTGTATACGTTTCGTCTCATTCACGAAGTCTCAATGCTTAGTTAGACCGTTAACTTTGATTCCTAATGAGAAAATTTCTTCGTACTACTTCAAGTACTTTTAGGACATTTAGCCAGGAAATAAAACCCTTCAAGTTAAATAGAAAAACCATTGTATTTTTTTCATTTGTCACCATATGACGTAATTATTCACTTTGTCCCGACAATTACGACACACCTTTCATGAACAATGAATACAGTATTTCCTCATATTTCAAAAAGATTTCTCAATTCCTTGGAAAAAATAGTTTACAACTACTAGAAATCAAATTTATCACAACTTTTAATAACGATAATTTTCCAAATTTGAAAATCCGCACACACACACATACAGGTGTGATGTATGCAATTTATGTTGACATAATTGGTATAAAGCACCAATCAGAAGAGGAATACCTGGTAGCAGAAGGTTGGAAAGATCGAATCGAATATAACAGGGACATAGAGTAATTGCTATGACAGTACAAGAACGGTGGAGCTTAAGATAATTGATGGAGAATTTGCAGATGAAGGATTTAACGTATGGTTTTTACTTTTTACGATAGAACTCTATACTTTTGTATTAAAATACATTTGGTAGTCCCCATCTGAATTCCCGCTCACTATACAGGTACATAGAACTATCGTTTTAACAGATAAAAACCCTCCTACTATTCTCAACAATGAAAATTTACAACAAATAATTTTACAAAGATTAGCACATCAATAAAATAGAAAACTAGGATAATAATGCAAAATATAAGTGGTTGTTTAGAGAGAGAAAAAAAGAAAATGGAACGCTGTCACAACATCGAATTGTTTCCGTTTAGTAGTATTTTCGAATCAAATAGTTAAAAAGTGAAAACGCATTGCATTTGGTATGAAGGAAAAGGTTTGGTTAGTAAGCGAATGAATGTGAAGAAAATCATCTTCTTTTCTATATAACTATAAACCGATAAACAAACTGGAAGAAACGAAACTATATGATGTGTTGAAATGGATAGTTTGTTATTGTTCTTTAAACTGAACTAAAGTAACAACAATCTGTAAATATTTATCCAAACAGATATATATATATATATATATATATATATATATATATATATATATAAATTTAAGAGAAATTGTTTTATAAAAACAAAATAAATCATTAACAGAAGTTAAGAAAGCTGGGATAGAGATATGGAATTCCCCGGGGACACGTTATCAGGACGAATACGTTAAACTTCAACATAACGATCAGCCCAGTACACTTCTGCTATTACTACGATTACAAGAAGAATGACTAGCAGTTACTACAAAATGAATATGTATGACAGGACTAGGGAAGATTGAAACGTGATAATTTCATTGGGGTATTCGATGGCTTATTAGTTACTTGTTGGGATATTCAGGAAAATATCCCAAGAATTATCCTGTTAAGCCTAATGTTATCCTTGGACATGAAATGGTATCATCTTATTGGTGAATATTTGTTTAACGTGTCATTTTCCTACTGGCCATTATTGTACAGTGTTATTTTCTATTTTATGGGACGTTGTGGTCTGCTTGACTGGTATATAAACAAAGTATGTTTGAAATACAATGATTCATATCTCCGAGGCTGTGACTTGTGTTCTGGACTCAACTGGCTGGGTTAGATAGGGAAGCGAGACCAATCAGAACCCTAGGTCGTTCTACGTGTTTGCGCGTCATTGGTCCGATCAATAATTCCCTACCCTTAATCCGCAGCATCATTTTCACAGTTATAACATTACTAAACCCTAAAACTGTTCATTTGCCAACTGATATCCAAAAACACACTTTTTGTGTCTACAACTTTATATAAAAGTGTATTACATTGTTAAACGTAGAAACTGTTATATACGAACGAAGAATGAATGCTTACAGCTAGGAATCATTTATGGACTACTATTACGTACATTCTTATTGGATAGTTAATAAGTAACTAGTTTATATATATATATATATATATATATATATATTCTAATTGCTTTTATTTGACCCGTTGGCTACTGTTATATAATTTTCCATTCGTAATTTATTTTCAATTTATTAGTTACAGTCTCCTACACTCACAGCTACATTCTACTTGATCTTATATAATTATTATTTTTCATTTCATGGTGTGATGCAGTCTGATCTGCTTGTTTATAAACCAGGTATGTCTGAAATATACGATTCATACAGAGAAGGATGATTGGCGATATTGCCATGTGATATTTGACTGACCGTAGGATAAAACAGAAGCCAATACAACCAGCCAACTGTCAACCATTCCTAACATCAATTTAATTAAACGTTTACATCAACAGTATAGTTTTGTGACCAGCCAATATTCAGCTACATCACATTACCGTAATATATCTCTTCAATGGCACTCTCTTCATTGCATTTTAATTACAAACTTAAGAATAAATTACTAATAATATATTATGTAACTGGTTTCTTATGCTAATTCTAAAAGCAACAGTGAATAATGATGACATGAACACCGTTAGATGTTAAAGGTCAAGCGTTCATGCGTGAGACCGAAGGTCATGGGTTCAGGTCGCTCATGTGAGACCCTGGATACGCACGGTTGCGGAGTCCCATGCTGGGACGAAACAGGTGCCCAGTGCTTCCAGGTTTTTAATTGTGGTCTAACTTAGATCGATTTATGATACCAATGAAATTCAATAATCTCCACTAGCCCAAGTGGAAATGTAATGATTATATTTCAAACAAATGAAAAAGAATTGATGTATTTTATTTGAATAATAATAATAATAATAAAGGATAAACATTTTGAAACAAAAAGTAAAAAGACCTATTCTTCTATTATCCATCTGATTTAATGTAGATATAAATAAAATAACAGCAACAACAAGAAAATTCATTAATTTTAGAATATTTTTCTGAATTCTCTAAAACAATCTTAAATTATTTTCACATTTTGTAGAAAACAATTTATCTTAAACTATACACTTTAACATAAATGAAAATCTAATCTAATAATAAATCATATAGTCAGTATATCATTGAATTATTTACAAAACAATAAGTTAGATATTATGCAATATATATGTATATATATAATTATATGGACCTACTAAAATAAATATCAATATGGTCAGTTTCTTTTGGATTGTGTTGTTTGAGTAACTATAGACTACTAGGCTACAGTCAGGATAAATATATCATAAAATAATGGCTAGAGATATTAGATAATACGGCTAAGAATTTTTAATAATCCCTTTGATTTATAATAATTGATTTACTGATGACTGCTAACTCTAATCAGTACATTGTAAGCTTAATTTTGAGTAATACAATTTAATTATATTACCCCTTAAACAGCTTCACAATACTCATTCAGAAAAAGCAGGATATATAATTATATTACAATTATTTTTAAAGTACAGAATAACTGGTAAGCACTAGTTCGTAGGTCAGTGAAATTATACTATAGAATATATCATGAAAAAAGAAATTCAATATTTTGTTGCAAGTAAAAAATTTCAAGCTGTCAATAATCGAAAATATTATAAGTACAGCGGTGTTTTGAAATTATGGAATTTTCAAAGGAACTACTCTGAAGTACATATTGACGACCAGACCGAAAAAAAAGAGCTCATGACGTTCAGATCCTGTGATGAACTCTAAGTCACAGATTTCACATCTAATGGTACACATGTCAAATTTCTATCGTTTCATGATTTTTCGCGACTATCTTCTATTGTTTGCAGGGGATAACTGCATCACAACCAATATGAGTGAACTCCGCCGGTCAATGATTTACTTGGCTCATTGGACTAGATGTTACGTTTTCGAAACAGCTATCTGGTTTTTCCTGTTTTTCAATAATGATCTTATTAAGACCAGACTATGAATATTGTAAACTAGAACACACGATAAAATGCTTATTTATAATTCATCTTTTTCACAAACCAACTGCACATCTATAAAAAACGTTAGAATTCATAAAATAACAATATGACTGAAATCAATAATTCCCCACTTACCTTCTGCGACATCGAATCCTTGAAATTTTACAGGTTGTGCATAATTAACAAACGATGATAATAATGGGTGTATACTACTTGTTGCACCAGTATAATGATAATGAGCCATCATTATTTGTTCTTCTTCAGCTGTTAAATTTCCCTATATTAAATGAAAAAACAAGCAATCATAATAACTGCACTGTAAGTAATATTCAATGAGAAATTAGTCTGATAACGAATGTTTCAAAACAGGCTAATGTGTCATAGCTAAGTGGGATGTTGATACTAGATTCCGACTAATAATAATAATAATAATAATAATACAAGAGTAATGCGCAAGTCATACAGTTGATTCCTCGTTTACAAAAATTGATTCAACTCATGAAGTAATCGGTTTGTAACAAGTTACTCGAAAATTTGAACTGATTTACATGATTAAATTTGATTTAGGTGGCTACGCAACATCACTAAATCTCACATAAACAGTACGACCCAAAATTGACCAGAAAAAAATCCCGATTGGCGAGGAGAAAGTTTCGATAACTGATAAAACTGATATACGAAGCCGGTTTTCAAGATAAAATACTACAGATATGCAACTAATGAATCACATAATTGATAGGAAAATCTTGTAATTTCCTATGTACTACGCTAAGTAAGAAGCCTGCCAGTTTTCGTTTTCACTAATAACACCTATGTTTGTCTATGCATGTTTAATCTCATTTTATTGTATTAAGCATAAAATATTAGAATAGTTTGTCAATGATATATGGAAAAATTGTGCCAGCCACTTAAGTAGATAAAAGTTGACAACAATAATAACTGATTCGCTAGTACTTATCACCGGTAGCTAAATTAAAGCTGGTTTAGCCAACAGAATTCTAAAAACACTTATGATCAAATACTAACAACTAATACATTTCTTCTACATTCAGGGTTCACTCATCATGGACCTTGATCATACAAAACTTTTTCACAATGAAAAATATGATAAAAACATAAATTATGGTTAAACGAAGTAGAAAATGTCATGCCGTCTCAGAAAAACACGATCTACAATAGTATTTCAAATACGCTTTAAAAAAAGAAACACTAAAACCGATATTATATTACTAATTGAGATTAACTTATTTAAAAAAGTCTCGTACAAAATACAAAATAAATAACATTATTCCACACTGTGATTTGTTTGATATATATTTTCTAACATGCCAATAATATACCTTAGAATAGTAATTTTAAAAAGTATATCTGATTGATTGAAGCTACAACGGATAAATTGGGAAAATTGGAATTTTCAGGGAAGCTAACTAAATAGCAATCCAATTTGTTATATTTATCAAAACTATCAAACTGAACAAATAACAACAATATCATGTTGGTAATAATAATAACAGATATTCAATGAATATTCAAATACAAGCATAACTTACTTCCTCCTGTATTGGAGAGATAGATGTGTCAATCAATGATAATCCATAAATATGAGTTTTATATCAGATCCATGAATAAGGTAAACATGTATCATTATTACATTGACCACCAGCAATGTTCGATCAGTAATTTCGATAACAATCATTGTGATTATTATTAATGTAAGATCAATAAAAAGGATAAGAAATCGAATAAAAACTATCTATATTTATAAATATATATTGTACATTGTTTTCATATCGTTCTTTCTATCAACTAATTCTTTCTTCCTGTACAATATCCTTATATGCAATCTTTCTTCTATATATCACCACCATTAAATTACCTATTTCTAGGCATCCGGTGTTCATCTTGCTATGCTAATGAGGTATGGCAACTTATACCGATGCATATATGTGCCTGGTCCTTCGTTGTAACTGACTGACTGACTCATAAACTAGAAAATATTTACAATCTAACTTAATGACAATTTAAAGTCATATCAAATCCGTCAAAACAGCTGAAACAACAACAACAAATACTACTATTGTGGTGCGCGTTACTTATGCGGACAGATATAAGTAGTAAGTAACAGTAATTGGAAGTAGAATGCTTACAAGAAGATTGAAATAAAGAAATGAAGAAAAACAGAGGCCTATCGGAATAATAACAGGGTTGGAAGAATGATGGAGTGTGCGAAGGACAACTCAAGGAAGATTTGTAAATAAAAAAAGGATAAACATTAACGAGTATAAATAAGAACAAAGATAACGTCAAATAAATAAGAACTTTCGTCTAAATTTGAACGAATAGTTTCACAATATTTGGGCGCCGAGTTAATTTGAGACATTAAAAAGAATATATATATATATATATATATATATTCTTCTTTTTAATGTCTCAAAGATAACGTCAAAGTTAATATAGAAACGAAAACAAATAATCATCATGTTATTAACACAAACCTTCTTTAACTGTAGTCTTTTCAATTCAGCACTGGAAGTACAACTAACCAACTGTGGGGTAGGTGTTGCATTCAGAGATATTACAGTTTCACCCCCACCACCGGAGCCAGTAGTAGTAGTGGTCGCTGTGAACTCGCCATTATTTGCTTTATTCGCCGAGCATCCATCACCATCTATAAATAAACATGATTATACATAAATCTAAGTGATAGTTTTTAAAAAAACAATATGTTTATAAATATGCAAATCCACTGATAAATTCCAAAGAATAATTAAACTGAAATACGAGGAATAGAATTAATGAAACAGTTCTTTTTAATTAAAATTGAAAAAAACAATTGCATTCACAATATATTCCTAAAACCACAGGTAACACTAGCAATGCTTTACAAGGAGTTGAAAAAAAAACAATGGAATAACATATCAATTAGAAAAGACATCTCGATATCATAAATGACCCAATAATAAATCATACTAGGCTGTCAATATACTGGATCAGTGGTTTAGATGTAACGTGCAGGCTCTGAAATCTGAAAATTGTATGTGTTCCACAATGAGATCGTGAGTGAGCATAAGTGAAGAATACTAAACAGTTATCCATAGCCCCATAGTTTTCAATAATTATTTAACGTAAGTTGTTTCGCGCTCTCAAGAATATTCAATAATCTCTACATGATACTCCACTCCAATTCAATATAAACAGATAACATAATTTTAAGCATATTAATATATAAATTAAATCAGTTTCCAATCGTGTATTTTTCTATTTCATTTGAACAAAATTAATAGTAAACTATCGAGGCGTTGACATTTATACATTAAAAAAACATAATATCCTTTAGTTATAGCATTGTACTTTTTTATCAGCTTATTCAATCATTGGTAATCTAACGCACAACACGTAAAAATAACACTAACCATCATCAATTACAATATGGTTAGACATCAAGAAAGGGAAAACAAGATGATTTCTACAACTAATTTAGTCTAATGTTCTATTCTTTCGTAGACAGCTGTCTGTAATTATTGTTTATCAAGCTTGTGTGTATTATGAAAAGAAAGAAAAAGCCAAAATAAAGTGATATTTACCATACCAGTTATTTTACAAGAAAACAATCCTATAAACGAATTTCATTATGGTAAACTAACCTACGTAGAAAGAAATGTGCCTACAACAACATGTACAATTTACCAATTACTACATTTTAAAAAATATAGTTTGTTTTTTCAAAGAAATCGACAGGCATTACGAGTGGAATCGAAAAACAAAGATGTATTTCAAGTCTTTGTGCTCGACCACTCCATATTACCATAGTTCAAAGAGATTAACAATGAAGTGAAGGAAATAACACTGAGAAAAGTAAGAGTTGTAATAATGAGTTAATTATAAATAAATAAAAGTATGTTTAAGATCTAGCGGAAGATAAACAATGAGTAGATCAGAATTATTTCATTAACGGTAAAAGTATACTTCATTGACGGCGCTGAGTCAATTATCAACGATTCACAAGGAAAATTAATTAATTTCAATGGATGAAATTATAAAATAATTACTGAACGTTTATGTATTGAATAACGTATTCTAGTTAGGATCAAGTATTAGAAATTTGGCTAGATTTATGAATGGAATTGTTAAGAATGTTAAGAAATTTTGGGATTCTAAAGAAACAGAATAATTTTTATCAGAAAAACACTCCTGGCTATGTCTTGAATTGTATCAAGCCCACGTACAATCTGTAATTTAGAACAGGTGTTTCTTGTAATTTGTTTTATCATCTACTACTTAATGTGTGTTTGGATAGTTGATACTTTCATCAATTTTACAAAGTTTAGGAACTAGTTATGGATTATTTTTATTTTTAATACAATACATGCTATCCTCCAATGTTTATTTGTTTTGAATTTCAAGAGGTACCATCCACAATCTGCTCGATTTAATCAAGGTTGTCAGTGCGATATACTGTTGACTGATTAGTTTGAAGTCATTTTAACTAAAAGCAGAAACCATGTATAGTGATTATTTAATTGATTACAAAATGTCAGAATGCAACTTGGAACAAGCATCATATATAAAATCGATGACCTTGAAAAATTGTGTAATTCACAAATTCTACCAGAATAAATTTTCGTATCCAAAATCTCCAATTAACACTGTAGTGAATACCATAAGTCCATAATGACGTAAACATAACATTATGGAATCGGCAAAGCACGAGGAATTTGACTTTACTCAGGTATTCAAGCAATAATTGATCTAATAAAGGTAAATGAGAGTCCTAACTCACTCAAGGCAAACCCAACAATTTTGACTGAAATTGAATCAAATTTACATGAATATTTGGTCAAAAAACAGGCCATTTTACAAATAAATGCTACAACCGATGATACAAATCTTCTGAGTCATCAAAAATTAAGTTTAAAATATGGTCTGAAATGAAAATTGATGGGAAAAGGTAACTTGAAGCAAAATCAACTAATAATAAACAAAAGACCCGCATTTTGTTACAGTTGGTTATGAGCTAAATAAATTTACTAAACGTCTTTTATGAACATGAAAAAATAAAAATAACGCATATATACATATATATGCGTTAAGTACTGAATGCACGCAAAATCTTACCATCTCTATCAATTGTTAAATCTGGATCTTCAGTGACTTCATTTTCTTCTTGAATAGCATCAGTTTGACCTTTTAAAAATAAGTCCAATTGTTCTGAAAAATGATCAGAAAAGAACGAAAGCAATAAACATAAGCAATTTGTTGTTAAAGAGTAATAACAATGAAAGGGAACGAAAAACAATATATATATATAATGAATAAATGTTAATAAAAATAAGTATTCTACCATTTTTCTTTAAAATTAATTAAAAAATTTGGAATTTATGAGAATAAATTGACAAGAAGAGATATTGAATGAGATTGTTACCAGGGAAATAAATTATACTACTTCCTTTTCAATTGAGTTATTTTTTTATTTATGCAATAAAATATGTAAAATAACGCTGTACATTAACTTGTCTTAATTAAATTTCTGTACAACAGTTACGAAAAATCCGTTAAACTATTTCAAAACAACTTTTTACAACTCATACAACATGAGTACTGTTATTTTATAAATATAACCTGAAAATATATAAACATTTATTTCAGAAAATAAAATGTTTAGATACATGAGTAACACCGTTTAAATAAAAATATGTATTCCATAAATTTGTATTCAATGTCGAATGTTTTTTTTTACAATATTTCTTCAATTTTGTAGTACATCTAGGGGTAATTATTCATCAGCACTCTGAAGCAGTGAAAATAAAACAGGTTAGTTATTTTAAAATAGGTAATATCCATGGTTAGTTATACACAACACAGAACTTGACACATACGTTCATAGATCCAAATTACCATACCATACCAGGACTGAGAGATGGATTTTTCGGGACAAATGCCAGAGTAGTAGAAGCAGCAAAAGTTACAGTACTTATAGTAGAAAATACCAGGCATTTACAATATGATTTGACAAGAAAAATGAATTCCAGAATAAACAGCACACAATAGTTATAAAATTCAAGATTTAACAGAAAGATCAAAAGTGACTAGATCTGCACGACCATAATCGATCCTGGTCCATGTCATCAAACGTTTCTGAGTATCGTTTACGATAATCGTGTAAAACTTATTCGGCTGGTCTGCACCTACCAACACGACATAGTTCAAAAATCAATTACTTTATGAACACACTCATATCACATATGTCTGAAATAAATACTTTTGACAAATTTTAGTAATTATAAGAACAGTTAGAAAAATATAAACATTAAAGTTTGAGAGAAACATCTACAAATCATCTATGAATTATTAAAATCTTTATAATTATCTTCTTTTTCCGATATTCAAAAACAGGTTAGAAATAACGGATATAAGAAACCTACAGAAGAATAGATTTTGATTTTTGAATAACATTAAAACAACTGTAGTTTAAATTTATCGTTCACACCCTCTACCACATTAATGGACAATTTGTCACATTTTCCCCACTGGAATGGTTAAACCGATAGCCCAATCATTTGAATCATTTTAAAATGATATAATCAGTTATTATTGCTTAGGGATGATTGTAAAAGCCAATAATTTAGTGCAGTGATTAACTTTTTAATAAGAATGAGTTCAAGTGATCACTTTATTACTAGTTTCTCAGTATGATATATCTTCATATATTTAGACGAAATAGCCATCCACTTGAACACATTGAGCACATCTTTCGATAACACCTAAAATATTCACTGATTTTTTTTATACTAATGTTTATACCCTAAAAATGCATCATTAGTGGTTGAAGATAAAAACCACATTTGTTTTGCCATCATGCTTATACGTCATCTAAACAAAAAACGAAAAATATTTTAAAAGTTCTGATGGCTGAATTTTAAAAATTCATTCCGATAAACTCAGCTTCACACAGTGAAAACATAAAATAAATAAGCAAAAATGTCTAAACAAACAGAAAACCATACTAACATATTATAGGCTCCTATGTATGTTGTTAACAGTTTTTCATGAATAAACCTCATGAATCTGACCCGAGTTCGCGTTTACAACAATTCTCCAACACTGAGTGTAATCTTATATAAAAGTTTATAACGCTAATGAAACGACATTGTTTAGCTCAACAGAGCAAACTAAACATGCTTTCTACATCTTAGAATAAATATTATTACTCAAAGAACAGAGGTTTTATGAATACTGGCCAGGAAAATTATTCTTAACATATCGTAATAATCCAATAGATTTTTATTTAAAAAAATACTTAATAAAAATCGCAATGTAACCACAGTTCAATTGAGGTAATCAAGAAAAAAAAAGGAATGAGCTAATCAAATAAAATTAACATCACAATATAATTTTTTTGATCATCTGAAAGTGACAATCCACAATTGAAATTACCTACTTCTAAATCAATGAAGATAAATGTCATTTCAACACACCACTAAAAACGTATAAAGCATTATCCTGATATTGTAAAAAGGTTTATTTGAGTTTCAGTTAACTAATTACTTTTTTCATAAAGAAATTAATCTAAGCTAAAAGAAGAATCATTCTGTTTTGTGAATGAACTTTTAAATATAAATGAATTCTGTTCTGCAGTTGAAAACAGATGGAAAACAGAGTAATATATCTGTTGTTTGTCTGTACTAACATGGCTAAATTAATAACAATTTGCAACTAAAATCACATATATATATATACATAAATACAATGGTTATTTTAAACAAGAATGTGCAAATTGAGTTAAGCGCAATTCAAAATGCATTGTGAACTGAATTAGAAGAAAAGAGATTAGTTCAGATGCCAAATCTGTTATTTATGGAGTTAGAACAAACAACTTACTGGATACATATAGAAATACTAACAAGAATAATGAGACAATAAAAAAAACAGTCTGTTTTTTTCAACAAAAAAAAGAACAATGTTCCTAATTTAAAATTAAAATTATTAAACTAAAACTAACAATTTTAAAGTAACGTGATTATATCACATTTTGTTTTAAAACAAAGAAGTCTACTCATTGCTCAATCAAAATTTATAAAATGGACTAATTACTTTATATGTCTTGACTAAGATGAGTTAATGAGTTGATAAATGTTTTTGTAATGGTATAGCACCTCACATGCAATTGAGTTTGTTTTCATTTAATTCGGTCAAGCGCTTTTGTTAACTTATTTAGCGGACAGAGTCATCTGTACTATAACAACTTATTGTGCCTTTATTATTGTTCAGCTTGTATGAAATATGTATGCTTGAACATTGCTTACCGTCTACGCATATATTCATTCTGTTAGCTTTATCATTAGCTGATTAATTGATTAGATGATCCATTCATTTCCCTATATACATACATGTACATTTAAACCTACACACTCTACTCTTTCGATTCGCTAACTCACTCATTCGCCTCCCTGCTTTGTGGTTTGAGTTATCTGCTAATAAAACTGTAGTCGCTGCTTCTCTTTGCCTTCTGATTTCAAACACCGTTGAGGATTATATGATAACGACTACGAGGGTGATTGGTCAACGAAGCACAGCCACTACAATGGAATGCAAATAGGGAAATTCCCTTTTAATTTGAATCAGTCTGTCACCTACCTATATTACAGATAATGCGAAACTGATATAACTTGTAATCGTTTACTTTACAAATGACTTTTAAATTATACTTATTTTGATTATCACTATTTCCAACGAGAATAAAAGTATTTTTCTTAAAACGAAAACAACTTATTTTCTGACCAGTCATATTGTTATTTGATAATAGGACGGGACAATGATTTATGGACAACCTCTGAGAGACGATTAAGTGACCTTGAGAAAATTCGCCTACTTATTGGAGGCAAAAGAAGATAATAGATCAGTGTAGGGAATTGGGATTAAGATTAAGAGATAGAAGTTAGGATTAGGAATTTCAGTTTGTGTTTTCATTACGACGTGACATCAGTCAAAATACTGAAATGCTATTTAGCCAAATAGATGAGTGAATATCTTGTCAAAATTCAAAACTTGTTGTATTAAGTCTCATTAATTCGTCTACGAATTCTAGTCTCGCTGACAAGATATCATTTAGAGAGGTGGCTAAATGGCATCATTCAGCATCATCATCTACTGATCATCATACTTTGTATCGACTTATTAACAACCAGCACCGTACACTCATATTCATTTCATAAAACATTTTGATATTACTAGTCAACAAAATATACCCAAGAAACAACCATAATGACAAGGAAAATAAAAAACGGTACATCATTACCAACAAGAATAGATTGGGCAAAATGATAATGACAGTAATAATAATAATAATAATAATAATAATAATAATAATAATAATAATAATCATAATCATAATCATAATCATAATAATAGTAAACACTTACGCTTTTCAGCTTCCGGTTTCAAACGTTTGTTTTTGATAAGAATTTTTCTTTTGAGTTTCTCAGGTGGAGGTAGGGCAACACCAGGTTCTAGCTGGTTAATTTTGCAACAAAATAACAACAAAAACGGTAGCAGGAATATGTTGGAAATGTAAAGGATTCAATTAATATTCGATATTACAAAAAATACATCCGCACATGTACACGAAACGTTAGTTAACCAGAAAATGTACTACTACTACTAATGATAATAATAATAATAATAATAATAATGAAGCATTCAAACAAGAAAATCGATTTACTACTGTTGCATCTTCCCCTTGAATTCTGTTATTCCTGTTTCTAACAAGTTTCATAACTTTCTTTTGAGTACTGAATTATTATAAATTTTTTAAGAGTCTATTCACTATCAATTTTGTTCATAGTCTGTAATGTTTGAATTTATAAACTTTCGTATGCTACGGTTTTATCATATAAAATGTATAATTATATTTGTAACGTAAAATGTACGACAATCGCAGTACCAATATTTATCTTGGAGATTTTCAGAAAAATAAAAGGCAGGATGAGTCTCTTTCACTGATAGAATGGAAGTATAATAAGAAATGAAGTATTTAACTGTTAGTGATTCAAAAAATATATCAATTTAACTTTGAGTGTACAGTTAACATCTTTCAATAGATAATCGACTCAACGGTTGAAAATATCGTTGAATCCTGCTTTTAAAAAATCTGCTCATATCATTTTAAATGAATGACAATGAAAACATATCAACTACATAAAAACAGTAAAAAAAAATACTTATTAATAATAACTACGCAACCAATAAGAGGAAGAATAATCTAACCTTTGCAAATAGATAAAAAGTCCCTTCAACGTTATGTACACTTACACACAACCAACAATTGAGATCGAAAAGAAATTTAAATGACAGTCAGAATGAATTAAGTTGGTCAAAATTAGCTGACTGAAATGAAATGGTAAGAGACTTAAGAATGAACTAGTAACCATCAGTCTCCATTTCCATTTAGCAGTCGAGTATTGTCAACAATTTATAAGTAGCTTAGTCAAAATTATCTTGAGTCGCCTAACTACAAAAATATTCACGTATCAAATGATAAATTTGAGTAACAACCAAAGAACACTTACCGAATAATTATCCAAAGGCTTAGTAAGTAACATATCCCCAAGTATCTCCTCACAATACTTCGCAAGTTTATACTGCTGATGTTTGCTTTAAAAAAAAAGTATATATATATATATATATATATATATATATATATATAACAAGCAACGAACTTGGCACAAAAATGTAAAGACTCAAATTGTTATATATTACATCAGCACAGTGACAGAGGTATTATCAGTATAAAAGCAAAGATTAAGCATAGAGAGTACATCAGAAAATAGTAAATCCCAGTAGTGAAATGAATGAAATGATAACGCCGAAAATTCAGAAGGTTAAGAATATATATATATATTTCGAAATGATTTCGATATAGATAATTTACATAAGACCTACAACAAAAGATAAAGATTAGCTTATCATACACAGAAAAGAAAAATCAAAAACAAATGACGATCACATTATGAACTTACACAGTGTTTCAGTCTGGTATGAACATTTTTATTTCAGGTAGATGTCAAACCGTGATGGGCAGTAATTCAGACAGTTCAAGGCGTTTTAACTACCAAGATAAAGATTAATTACCGTATCAACTTAATAAACTAACCCCCAGTACTTCAGAACTATTCACCTAGTTGTAATCTTGAACTGCTCAGGTCTAACATATATACAGCGCAAATTTACTCAGTTAGAGAGTCCAATGTTAGTGATAGTTTACCCGCCGAATGGGATATATCCTTAGACAAATCCATATTATCGCAGTGTGAATCAAGAAATGATCTTAGCTATATCATCACTGAAAGCGTGAGATCTCTAGGCGGCTGTTGTATCTTAGTATGAAAGTTAGAACTTAACACCGTTGGAAACCGGGTTAATTGTTTAGACGTTAAACGTATGTGTATCAGGCCGAAGGTCTTGACTTCGATCTCCGCAAATAAGGTCGTCGATGAGCACTTCTCAGAAGTTCCATCCTAGAACGAAACGGTCGTTTAGTGCATTCAGGTTTTAAATGGTGGTTTAGATATGAACTATGAACATTTATAATCACCGAAATCCTCTATGCATATCCATTTTAGTTACAGAAGTCATAGAGCGTATTGTTGTTGCAATCATGAGGAAGACAAACATTTCTGTAAATCAACCATACACGAATAATTCTCTACGAGAGTCTATAATTAAATAAGTGCAGTTCATAAATATGTTCCATTTTCGTTGCCACGCCTCCGAACCGTGCATTTTAAAGAATGTCCACCCTTTGACAAACGAATAAAAATCAAAGTTACCGCAAGTTATTAAAGCCATAAGAAATACTTGCAGAAGTAGGATTTCTAAAATTACAGAAATTACTATATCATGTATTGCTAATCCACAACCACATATGGAAATTTATTGCACCATACAGTGTACTATTTTTATTTTAACGAGGAAATATCAATAATATAAACATACATTTTAAGGCATGAATTATGTACAAATATGAAATAAGTTAATTATAGTACACTATGCAAAAAAATAATCATCAATCGTTTCATGAACCAGAACTATGAAAATAACACTTTAACAAGAAGTTAAAATTAAGCCTGAAATTACACTTCTATAGATATATCCCCTGTCGATAAAATGATTTTACCATGCTCTATCGCGTACACAAACTTTAATAAATACATTCTCACTTAAAATAATACAACAGTGATGTAATTCATTCACATCAAAATATATCGATAGCGACTGGAATTTATTATTCACAATAAAACAAATAAATTTTTTCCATTACTTAAAAAAAGAATCTGTTTTAAATAAAAGTTAAATCAAGTCTCATGGTATATTTCGTTTTCATGACTAAGATGATTTTAACCAAAAGGCTAGAAAGTTTATAGAAATTTTTCATCAACAGATAAACGAAATTAATTTCCAGAGAAAAGGTAGTTGCTAGTCATCGTTTAGAAAAGCATTGACTAGCCCACAAATATAATAATCCATCTTAAGATCTCTTGAACATTAATTTCATATCATGCGTTTCATTACACCTTCAGATAGTTTCAAGGGTTGTCAATAATTAAAAAAACCCATTGGTTTTCAAAGGACAATAAGATCAAAACTTCTTTTTAAATAAATTGAAATGTAATTCAAAGCAACTCCAATAATCGGCCACCACAATGTTACCACACATTTAATTATTTTCCACTCTGTACGAAACAGAAATGTAATCTTAATTTCAGTTATCAAGAAAGTTTTAATCAAATATTCAGTTTCGAATGTTAAACTTATTGGATAATATTCTGCAAAATGTACAATACATCTACGAATACACATTCGATGACACTAATCATATTAATTCAAATGACATCAGTTTGTTTGATTGATAGTTTAACAATGTTGTCATTTAGGGAATTAATGAAGGTTAAAGTGATAAATATTCCCAAATCTCTTTGAAGTGTTCGGCAGGAGATTCGCTGGTACAACACAGGTACACTTAATATTTCCAGTTTTGAATGATGCAGCGTAATAACGGTTGTTCATATCACTAATTAACCTTTGATTACATTTAAAAGCCTTTAGCTAGTCACTGTAATGCAGTTTAGACTATGTTACAAAGCTTAAAGACCTTGAATGCTCATGTCAAACAACCGCCCATATGCTAATACGTGATCTATCAGCTAAATAAATAAAATAACGCTGCTCGACATTCTGACATTTACATTACTGATCTGTCAAAGGAAGACGAATAGCGCATATTGCCTTGTATACAGAGGTCCTCAAGCGCTTGAGAATCATGTGTATAGTGTGGTGCTAGCGAACGGCTGCCACATCATGACTATGTGTTTACATATCCGCCAGTGACTTCTTGTGATTTCCTGGCCAAACAATTCTATTACCAAGACAAATAATCTACCCAAGTTACAGGATTCAGACACTCCCGAAATTCGTCCGTGTTTTGATTATAAGGAAAATATGTGCCAATGAACCAAAGAGACTATGTGACAACAGTGATAAAGTTGCAGAATCTGACTTTTGGAGTCATCAAAACGAAGAGGGTGGATGTGTAATAAAACTAGTGTGTAGTATTTCGAATAGAATAAAATTGATGAACTCAACATTTTGTATGATGAAGTCATCCTAAACTCAGTTCGCGTGTTGACTGAACAGACTAAATGCTTCGCTATGAATTATTCAAATAAAACGAAAGTAATATTGTTCAGTTTACTGAATTTAATAATTGATCACTATACTAGATTACATACAACTAATAATATTAAATTCATACATATCTATTCAGTCTTTGAGTTATTACAATTTCTTATTGGTTAAACAACAAAATGAGATAACAATCTGCCTGAACATGTACTTTTTCTCCATTATAATTATTATTTCATTGTAATTTAGTCAATATTCATTTTACTAAGTAATTCATCCGTTTATTTTAAAAGAAGAACACTTAAGTCTAGTCCTATTGAATATATGGATATATAATATATATGAACTATATTCTATATATGAAAGTGATCTATCCATTCTGATTAGATCTAATTTATGATACTAAGAATGAGTATAATTTACGCTTGATCAATCGATAATTATCAATCAATAACCAATGAAAGTCAAATGATTTAAGAAGATTAGATATATTTGTCTGTACAGGATCTTGCAAGATGAATGAACTAATCAATCACATTTTTGACTTCTGTATAGTTGATGGTGATTTTACATCACTTTGAAATAATATTGAATTTTTTTAGGATTGACTATATCATGCGATTCAGTAATGAAAGGAATTCAAGAAAGAGAAACATCATCAAACTATACGATAGAGTTTAATATTTAATGTATGGTGCCAGATCATTGAACGATGGAGGCTTTGGTTTTACGGAAATTCAAACTATCCCTTCATCCTGGTAAATCTCTGAGAAGTTCACAATTATTTTCTTTTTCTAACCACGTAGCAGTAATGCTTTGACACGAATGATTTCAACAATATTTTCATAGCAAACTTTGTTCATAGGTTACGTTTGAAGATTCAAAAAAGATTGTTGATGCTTCAATCATAATAGTATTAAACATATATGCAATAAAATTAGAATAATAGAGATAAACAAATATAGATAGGGTTTTACATAAAAGTATAAAGTAATGAACATCTAGGATTTGACGAAAATGTATCATGTTTAAATAATCTAAATGAATATATTAAACAGAACAATATTAATCTGTAGTTGTTAAATATAGAGATAAGATTAAGCTGTTGAAAGCTCTGTGTTTTTATATGACCAATATATATAGATATACTGATTGTTTTGTTGCAGGCTGAACTGTAACAAGTCTAAATATTAACTATTTATTCTAATTACTTCTATCACAGGTGACAATCTTGTCTCTAATTAAAAGCATATGAACAGATAGAATTTACTTGTTTTCAACAAATAGATTTTTGAGAGGGGGGGCGGAATTACAACTATAAAGTCATGTAAAGATCATAATTCCAAATTTGTATCCAAATATTATACATAAAATAGGACACACAATTTACAAAAATTATATAATTTTCTAACTGAAATGATATTTAATAAATATGACAATCCTATTTGAAAAAAAAGACATTTTATGTACAGTGCCCTATTGAGCATCAAATAAATTAAATCTTAATGAATTATTATGTGAACATAAACGACGAGAGTTTACCTGCAATGATTTTCAAAAGACATGATAACTGGACAGTCGCTTGCTACGAATGCTGTATCTCTAATTGCATAAATTACATCCTGTAGAGAAAAATAAGAAAGCAAACAGATGAAATCAACACATGATTAATTCAGTTTATAAAGATAAGGAATCAATTTACAGGTTTTAGCTCTCTGTATCCTATTATTAAACTGGTAAATTACATTATGTAGTCTTTAACATTCATTGAATTACATCTATAAACTATTATTACAGTCACTGAGGCAAGTGACTTAACATGAAGACACATTTGTTTGATGCAAATGGAAGAGTGGTGGATAGTTACTGAAATACGTTTCTTGGAAGTTGACACTTTTCAACCAGACATAATAATAATATTAGGAGGACTGACAATCATCCATATATATATATATATATTGATATCCCAACTATAAAGTTTGATGAGCACTACCATATGGTCTCTATTTAAAAGTTTGCACTTCCATTCAGCCTGCATCGTCCTGCTTATGCCTGGAGTCTAGCAACAAGAAAATTGCTTTAAACACTTAACTAACATGAGTACTTTCAATTTTACATTCTAAACATATCTATATACATATCTTGCAACTTTACTGATTATTAGAAATACTTTATACATAAGTAAAGTTAATCAATTACTATTCATTGTCAAGAAATAAATATTTAATTACAATAAATGACAAATGAAGTTTCAAAAACAAAAAAAAGATAGAAAATAATAAACATTTCGCTTTTAGATCAATGACTCAAATCACATTATTATATAGAAAAAAGTATAGTAATTTTAAGAAATAATTCAAAAATACTTAGGGCCATATAGATGATAAGATTGATCTGATTCAAGATGATTAATTAAAACAAGAAAAACGTGTTGAAGATAGCAAAAATTTATAAACAAATAAGACATTTACATTCAAGATAAAAGAGAATTAAAAGATAGAAGTATTAACATTTGATAACTTATCAGGTTGAGTAGTAGTTGAAGAAATATTTGTAGAAATTGTATGTGATAATATGAAAATCTCTACTAAACGTGTCTTTTCCAACGTCTAACGTCTTTTCATGAAGTAAATGAATGTTAACTTCGAATTGGATTGGTTTGACACATTATCTATTTATCAGCTTTCTGACCCCATTTTTCGCTTAGTTAAAAATTTTAAAAAACTAAATAATATATATTTTTTAACCAATCAACAATAGGTATGGTGAAACGGTAATAGCATAATTGTGTTCGATTACCGTTATTATATTATTAGTATTATCTTGGAACTCCTAATGAATGCTAACATCCATCTACCGTCCAATTTCGATAATATGAACTTCAGAATTATTATTAGCTTTATTCAATATTATATTTTTGATACAACATAGAATTCTCAGCGCAAAGTATTTCAACAAATTTCCTTTTCTTATTTCTTGATCGATCCTGACGACACATATTCAGTGATTGCCAATTATATGTTAGCAGTTCGCGAATCGACATCTGAATAATGTTCGTTCTTTTCAATGCATATTGCTAGCCTGTACAACAAAATGTCGTAAACTTTTCATAAACGCGCCTGAATAGAATGTGCGCTCAATAGACATAATGATGTGTCAAAACAAATAAGAAAACAGATAACTTGTTGAAATATCTAGATGGCAGGAATAGGTAGCCCAGATATTCAAGCGGGCAGCCGACAAGTTGGTCAATTAACCATACTTAATACATATTACCGATATTAATGTAATTAAATTAAATAAGTTGGTGTATTCGTGTAAATTTCGATAACAACAGGTTTAAGTCGTTTAAATGTATAATAACAGTCTAAAAGTATATTTAGTCTATTGAACAAATGATCGAAAATGAATTCAAATTAAAAATACATTTTTTAGTGAATATGGTAATAGTGCTCGTTACAAACTGATATCAGCTCAAGAATTTTTGTAAATTATTTACAAAATATGCAAACGTTTTCACAAAAATAAACAAGTAAATAGTAATCTGATGATGACTAACAACTGAATTTAAGATTATGATCAGAATGAGGGGTATGTGGAGATTGTAGTAATTTCAATAGTTGAATTCAGGAATCGATGTAAGCTAGACCATTGAAAACCTCTATTCTGAATATAATCAACAGGTGCTCACAAATGACTAGCTTCAAGATGGATTTCCTGGAGTTCTCGTGTGAAGCCGTGACCAGTGGAGTTCGATTTGTGTTAGGCAGAGACAGGTATCTACTTCAGACAATGAATGAAGGGTTGCGCGAAATCACGGACCGATCGAAGTTAGACATTAACACCGTTGAATGCCGGCTCAGCGGTCTGGAGGCAAGGTTTTCGCGCGCGAGACTAGGGGTCCTGGGTTCGGTTCCCGTGTGTGGGGTCGTGGTTGCTTACTGCTGAGGAGTAAAATGTTAGGATGAAACAGCCGTTCAGTGCTTCCAGGTTCTCATTGGTGGTTTAGCTTACGTAGACTCATGAATTCTTTTAATGTTTTCCCCCGATGGAAAGCGTTGAACAGTAATGTCAAATAATTTGCAGAATAAAACATAGGTTGAGGTCCGCAATTAATTAAAAAATGGACCAAAAATGAAAAACAATATCAAGAATATTGGATTTTAACTTAAAAGGTTTGGAAATTGTGACTGTAGCGAAATGATTCAATTTCATTCAAGATTATAAGTACAAACCACTTAAAAGCACCCGATAATTATTAATATCTAGCATTCAATGATTCGTAACAAAAGCTATAAACATATCTTCATAAAAACATAATTAATTCCTGGTCAATTATTTCATTAAAGGTCAAACCTATTGATTCTATTGTTTTTTTTCTCTTCTAAATATCTTTCGTGTACACATTGACCTAGAAACAAAACTCAAAATTACGTCCACTTTTATGTGATTAGTTTTAATGATGGATTGGATGCTGAACAAGTGAACTGGATACATAATTACCATCAAGTATATGAGTTGATTAGGTCAATATATATAATGGATTATCAGTCACATCTATCATAAGTAATCCATATTAAAATTAATTAAGTAAAACGATTATGGGAATTAAAACGTTTTCTGACCTGTGAAATAATACTTCATTTTTTTTATAAAATTAGAAATTCAGAATAGTAACAGACGAGATATTTCAGCAATAAATTTAAGGTTTTACCGCTATATAAATCAACTAAGTAATTTGATATAACTAAATGTTCATTTCATTTCCTTGTCACTATACTCCGAAGATAACATATGAAGATTATTATTATTATTATTATTATTATTATTATTATTATTAGTAGTAGTAGTAGTAGTAGTAGTAGTAGTAGTAGTAGAAGAAGAAGAAGAAGAAGAAGAAGAAGAAATAGTAGTAGTAGTAGTAGTAGAAGAAGAAGAAGAAGAAGAAGAAGAAGAAGTAGTAGTAGTAGTAGTAGTAGTAGTAGTAGTAGTAGTAGTAGTAGTAGTAGTAGAAGAAGAAGAAGTAGTAGTAGTAGTAGTAGTAGTAGAAGAAGAAGAAGAAGAAGAAGAAGAAGTAGTAGTAGTAGGAGTAGAAGAAGAAGAAGTAGTAGTAGTAGTAGTAGTAATAGAAGAAGAAGAAGTAGTAGTAGTAGTAGAAGAAGAAGAAATAGTAGTAGTAGTAGTAGTAGTAGAAGAAGAAGAAGAAGAAGAAATAGTAGTAGTAGTAGTAGTAGTAGTAGTAGTAGTAGTAGTAGTAGTAGTAGTAGTAGTAGTAGTAGAAGAAGAAGAAGAAGAAGAAGAAGAAGAAGAAGAAGAAGAAGAAGTAGTCGTAGTAGTAGTAGAAGAAGAAGAAGAAGTAGTAGTAGTAGTAGTAGTAGTAGTAGTAGTAGTAGTAGAAGAAGAAGAAGAAGAAGTAGTAGTAGTAGTAGTAGTAGTAGTAGTAGTAGTAGTAGAAGTAGTAGTAGAAGAAGAAGTAGTAGTAGTAGAAGAAGAAGAAAAAGAAGAAGAAGAAGAAGTAGTAGTAGTAGTAGTAGTAGTAGTAGTAGAAGAGGAAGAAGAAGAAGAAGAAGTAGTAGTAGTAGTAGTAGAAGAAGAAGAAAAAGAAGAAGAAGAAGAAGTAGTAGTAGTAGTAGTAGTAGTAGTAGTAGTAGTAGAAGAAGAAGAAGAAGAAGAAGAACAAATAGTAGTAGTAGTAGTAGAAGAAGAAGAAGAAATAGTAGTAGTAGTAGTAGTAGTACTGCGAAAAGCAGAATACTTTAATATGTTTATACGTAAATAACTGTTTTAAGGAATAATAGGGCATTACTGATCAGTAGTATTAGTTGACCAATAAATAAGTAGTGTTTTCAAATGCATTGGAATGACAAAACGAAGACAAAGAAGGAACGAAATAAAATTTATTCCATTCTAATGTGATCAAATTATTGATGTGAAATGAATACAATAAAAGGAAAGCAATGTGTTTTTATTTTAAATTTGCTATTCACTTCAACTGGTTGAAACCATAAGTTAATTGAAGCTAGACCACCATGGAAAACCTGAAAACACTGGTCTAGCTTCAATTGACTCATGATTTAAACCAGCGAAATTTCTAAAATCTCCACAAAAACGCTTCTGATATTCATTCAAAGTTATGAAATTCTTTCTAATAATTAAAAAAATCTGGTTAAAATTTGTCAAATATTTGTCTAATACAATAAACATTAGCGTTAAATATATCTGCTGAATATAATAAAAATAGTAGTATTATTAATAAATAATTCATTATTATCAAAGTAGACAATATGTGCAAACAAAATAACAATGTAACAAACAATCTTAGCACTACTGAAGTGTTCAGCATAAATAGAAAACTGTAGACATTTTATAGATATTAATGAGAGAAAAGAATACTAAATACTTTAGAGGTTATCAGTCAATCAAGAACTCGAGGAAGCGTTAGGAAGTTCAGAAAGAGCCGAAGATATTCTATCCAGTCATCTTTTGGAAGAATATTCCAGAATCCCTACGTGTAGTTTCCCTATTAGACAAGTGTTAATAACCCTCTGTATAAGGATTGGAGAACTATAATGATGATTTCATTTTTACTAAAAACTATAAATACCTGACAGTTCTGTACCATAAATGACACCATTCGGAATAGTACTCCTTTCACTTCTCTTCTGTCTTCTCATTTGAGATTTAGGAGGGTTCTAGCGTTCAAGTGTTCAAGTTATACGCGACATATTAAGAATCTAGACTCTAGATATAACAATGTTATTCACCCATTAAACAATTGAGAAAGGAACAAAAACAGGAAAACTTATTATAATGCGAGTTTTATAACTCGAATTTTAATGAAGGAAAACCGATAGGACTACCGATAACTTTCCAGAGTAGAAAGTTTTGGAAAAGATTTGGATGTTAGGGTAGAGTTGACTAGGTATTGCTAGTGCTTGACTCGTATAATTTCTGCATGTTCTGATACCTGAAGGTTCTCAGCTTCACCTCATATGCGGTTATGAATGCATACAATGAGAAGACAAAACAAACAAGAAATAGCAGTCTGGTGTTTGTAAGTTTTTTAACAGTTCTTTGGCTAGTCTTATTAAATGATGAAATCTTAGAAACACTCTTCACGAACAGACTGTTTACATAGATTTTAAAACCTTTTAGAAAATAAGAATCATTTCAGTCATCTGTACCTGTGTTCTGAAATAGTAGATGAATTGTGCCAATTCTATTGTATTCGAACAGTTACTAAAATCAATGATTCTGGGTTCCTCCCTTCATTTAAATATCTCTTGGACCAGAACTCACGTCAATTAGTATCGTCACGGTTGAGATGTCAAAAAAATATAATTTTTGTTACTAGTCCGCAACAGGTCAATCAGTTACATGAAATGTAGAACCTTGACACATGATTACATCAATGGAATTGTCATAGTCTATTCACCCAGTTGGAATTTAAATATAATCTTTGACATCAATGAACACCATAGTTTACTTTCATTTCTTATTTACAAACATGGTGAGAAATTGTACGTGTAAAAGTCAATTCTAGGAAATATATACCTATATCTATGTAAGTAAACACTCACTCCAAAATATGACCATAAAGCAAATAAACAAACAGGTAATAGATTATGCAAATGATTCCCAAGAAAAGGAAGGAAAATTATCATCAAGTGAATGTAGGTCAAATTCCAAGTATAAAAGGAAATATTTATTTAGGAAAAAATAGGTAATTTTTGTACACAAAGGTCAGTATGAAACTAATGGGGCAAAACTTCTAGTAACAAGAACAACAACAAAACGAAAAGTTAACCAATGTTCTGCGGAAAAAAAATTAAAAAGCAACAGAAGGCAAAAGATACCTTAGTAATAAAAGAAGGGAATGGAAAGAAAATTCCATACACCAATGAAATAAATCAAGTTACTTAATCAAAACTTACTTTAAATAGTATATCAGTACACATTGCTTTACCATGCGTGATTATTGGTTCTTGATCTTCACCTCGACCATCCCAACAATCCAATTCAATACATCTTGAAATGACGACAGGAAAAATTGAAAATTATGTAATAAAGTGTAGTAAAAAAATTACAGTACAACCATAAGTAATTTACATCAATCTTCGTTCCCAGTGTAAAATACGAACTCAGAGAATCAGACAGATACACATTCAAGCACAGGATTTATTGCGGAAGTTATAAAAGTTAACGTAACAGAAAACGGAAGTTATTGTTCGCGTCTACGAGCACATTTCTTAGTAATTAGGATCAATTAGTCAACATGCTTTCTCCTATGTAGTCGCTTGTCATCTACTTAGAGGTATGCCACTAGTATTTCAAAATCATCAATAAACAAACAACTTGAAACTTCTTGCATTTTACCGAATTTATCACTTTCAAAAAACAAATCAGATGCATACGTTCTAAAGGATAATGCTGTCAGTCTTGCACTACCATGAAGACCTCAATTACGAACACTTAGTTCTGTAACAGTTAATTCATTTTTGCAGTTGCACACTCACTTTCTTCAGTTTTGAGTTTCAGTTATCGAACACTTATAATAAATTCTATCTTTTGTAGCTTTTATTAAATTACATTTAGCATAAAATGTTTCCCAGTTACCCATATTCACGAACATTTACTTTCAGGATATCTACAGTATTTGACGTATTCCATTAAGGCAAACGCCTCTCGTTATTTTTACATACTTATCATCACCCTTAATTACACCTCACTGATGTGAACGTTTCTGGTATTGCGACATAAAATATGTTTACTGCTAATACTATTATTTTCTAAACTATGAGTAGCTGAAAAGAATCCATGAAATAAATGAATTTGCACTGTTTAATCATCTTTGCTCTTGCTTCATTTAAAATGTATAAATGGGAAAAGTTGTATGAAATATCAACATTCAATTCGTGTAGATACATGTGTACATGTGTTTTTTTTTATTTCTTCATACAATAAACCCATGTATAATCGCTTACAAAGAGAGCCAAAAACATGAATCATGTTAACTAAATAACAGGAAGCATGATGAAAGATCAAAAGATTACAGTGGAGATCATGATAAATGAACAAAAGAACTACATAATAAAATGAAATAGGTATTACAGAAAAAAAGTAGATCCAATCACTTTAGTATATGCTATGTTGGACAAAACAAGGAAAACAAACTAAGTATCCTACTTGTATATCTGCTATAAGGAGATGTAGTACACTTGAATTCAATTTAAAAACTAGTAATTCTGACAACTATTGAACCCACACTCTAGTAGTCACGAGTGAACCAGAATTTATTTTGAAGATAAAGCAATCAACACACACATGAAAGTATTATATCGTAACTAGAATTAGGTACATCAAAACGTACAAATTAATCATCATTATATCCAAATATCAGATTCCTCTTCATAAACATTTATTATTTAATTGAAAGTTAATTTTATTAGCTAGTCAACCGGTTTTTTCAATAAATTTATAATAAGGAAATAAAGATAAGGTATGGAAAAGTGAGAATAGTTCATTTATGAAACATCATTTATCGATGGATGTGGAAAGGAAAGATTTTGTGCATAAACCAAATATATGATCAAATTTCCATTAATTAGTGTAAGAAGGTTTGGATTACTGCTAAGAAAACTAAATTAATTAGTTAAGCGTTAGTTTCAAATTCGATCCCCAAACACATATATAACAGACTTAATGAATAAACTAATTAAATAAAAAACAATGAATGATAAGTAGGTGATGGTTTGAACAAAATAACGTTCTATTTTATAACTATCAATTGGTTTACGAAACTAATTTTAAACAATTATACCTATACAAGTGAACGCATCAAGAAAAATTCTACAATGGTAATTATAAGTGACAAATAAGTAGAACAGTAAAGCGGTATCATTATATTAGTCGTCTGTCAACAATTTGTTTGCAGATTTGAACCCGTGTCTTCTGACTACGACTTCAGTCATCAGAAAATAGTAACATTCATTCAAAAATGTAGTTCTACACTGGGTTATTTGATTTTCTTTATACAACTAAGTTACGCTAAGCACTGAAGATAAACGGATAGGTCAAACAATATACAAATAATCCAAACATTCGTAAACTTAATTCATTGGGATATACGTTAGAAAGTTACTTCACCTACCAAAGCTTTAGTGGACATATATAGTCAATTAATATGTTATAAATCTTTAAAATTATTTACGTACAGCTATAATTCTAATCAAACATATAATCACGCAAATACTAGAATGAGTTGTCGACCAGCTAAGAGGTGTAGAAAACTATTGAATACGTTCAGAAGATGTCATAAAACTGGGAAATAAAAACACCTGAAAATTAAAAAAAAACACCGACTTTCAGTTGGTTTCTTGTGATTTATTGTATTTACTATGGTATTTCTTTTCCATAACGCTTCAAGAACAGCAATGTTCGCGAAAATGTATATGCGGAAAATTGCAAAAGATCTATACTACGACTGAGAAATTAGATGGTCAAAAAGCATTTATCCAACTAAAACAGCAAATACATCATGCGGACCAACAGTTGCATAAAGCAACGTGTCAATAAAACAGTCCCCAAATATAATGCTAATGCTAAAATACTAACGTTTAAAAAAGCCTGAGATAATTGTGAACTGTTATTAACGTACATTGATTGTATGATATTAAAGCAGTAAATTCGAATAAACAATACAGCTTTTATCGATATTTATAACAGAACTTTTATTAATGATCAATGAACAAAAATGAAAATGGAAATTACAGAGGTAAGGGGTAAACAGAAACAACGTGAATAACTACAATGTTGGTAATAATAAGGTGCAATCAAAAGCAGCCAACATCTTTCAAGTTTATACACAAGATTTATAAAAGGTTAGGTGTTAGTTGGATTGAATAATAAGGATAAAATGAAATGGGCAACCAATAAGTGACCACTGTCGACTAATACTGAGCACGTTTCCTTCAAAAATTTTGAAACTATTACGTCGAAATGATTAGACGTTGAGTAATTATACAGTAGTGTATGCTAATTATGTCGACATACATAAGTAGTATGTAACACTGATCTGAAGTGGAATGCTTGGCAGTAGAAGGTACATTTTCAACAGAGAAATAAACAATAACACTATATTTTAAAACAATAAAATTTCATATTTACTTTTTAGAAAGTATAGCTGTACGTAAAAATAACAGAGGAAGAAAAAAAAAGAAAAAAGATTGAAGAGAACATTCACAGACCTACAGCAACAAATCTATTTTGACAGCTAGGTATGCAAGGTTGAATTGTTGATAAAGTGATATATTTTTAAACGAATAAAAGGTTGAGAAAATAGTCCTGTTTACACAGTTGTGTGACAACATGCTTACACATTTTAGTGAATAGATAGAAAGAGTGAGAAAATCATGTATATACTGATATATAAAACTTAAGTTCATCAAAGTATACTATACACTTTCATTCGTATAAATCAAGTTATAATAAGATTAAAAAAAAAACGCCATACTAAATGATTTTCCAGCTTTTTTTCACTACAATAACCCATTGTCCGAGTAGATAAATGTAATTGTTGCTAACATTTTAATTACAATTCAAGATCACTACTTCTGTATCGTATTAGTGTAACATATGGAGTGGTAATCTAATTGGTTGGAACACTCCATTATTATCAACAAGCGGACACTTCACCTCAACTATATTCAGTAGATCAGTCTAAAAAGAGGGAAGGTAGTATTGCTAGTCCTTAAACTATACCTACAGCAAGAAGTGTAATAAACAAACATAAGTGTGTCTATTATTTTAATTTAAATAACCTAAACTCGCTACAAACTGGAAGCTAATGACAACTGCAATAGATAATCCTGAATTTAAACTAAAATAAAAACTAGCTTACCGACAACCAGCCAGTAATACTTGTCGATACATTTCAACAGATGATTTACCACCAAATTGTCGTCCAATCAAATAGGTATTATGTGATGAATTAATATAATAATGACTGAGTGGTTGATCCATATCTTGATAAATATCTAACTTGTCCAAAAATACACATGCATTATCATCAGACATTAAATAACGATAAAAGCATTCAATGGATACCTCATCTGTGGATTAAAAAAATAAAAAATAAAAAGGAGAATAAATAAGATGAATAAAAAAGAACAACAACGAGAAGAAAGAATTTAACCAAATGATAAAATATAATGAATTATAGTGGAGAAACCAATGATAATTTTATAATGAAATAAATGATTTTTCAGACTACGATTACAATAGAAGGTAAGAAGTTTACGTCATACATTTGTTTGTAATACGGGGTAGAAGAGAAACTAAACGTTAGATTAGAAATTAAGCTGTAAAAGCCTTCTCATCTAAATAACAGTATTAATATACACGCTTGTAGGAAAGAAATCAAATATGATTACGTTTTAAAAGAAACAGTTTCATTTTGTGAAATCAGTGTCTGTGTCCGTGTGTATGAAGTTTCGTGATGAGATAACGTTTAATCACTGTTATGTAACTACAAATTAATGTCCATTTAAATATTGTATCTAGTAGATAGTGTATGTAATACTAGTTAAAAAATCAACCCAGCTTAACTTCAGAAAAAAGATTTAGAAAAACCGAATCGTATTGATGACATAATAATTAATAATATTACGAACACTTTTTAAAGCTAAATATTTATAATTTATACGAATAATTATTGATTACTGAAACAGCTTCAGTTGAAACTTTAATCTGACCATATATGACAAACATTCACATTGATAAAGGATATCAAAGCCAAAACTACAATTATTAAAACGTTACAAAGGTATGGAAAATTAGACAAACGTCTACAGAGTTAATCGTTAAGCAATACAACAGTCGATCACCTTGTGAACCGTCTTTAACCGACATTATATATAATATTACAATTGACCAGTTTATAATATGAAGTCAGTTGACAAAGTTATCGGGTGTGGATTGTTAATGTTGACTTGTATGTTGGCCATCTCAGGATACTCATAGAAATCTGTTCCATAAATATGATCACTTTTTCTATCTTCCACTAAACTTTAAGCGTTGAATTGTTTCATAATTTTCACATCATGATTTTACCCACTATTTTCTAAGTACATTTTCGAAGTTTAGTAGTCATCCTGACGAATATTATATTCCTGATTTATTGGTCGTCCATACTACCTATTTGCCGTCTTAATGTGCCAATTAGCTGGTGTGAGAAATTGATGATATACAGATTTTTGAAAATCCATTATAAACAAAAGGAATATACGATTGAAAATGAAAATGTCTTCCTTCCAGACTTACCAGTATTTTTGAATTCTTCTTGTGTTTCATAATTTTCTTGGATATACTTAATAGTTTGTTTGTTAGCAAATGGATAGAGAATTTCATTTAGGCGAGGGTCACGTTGAGTCTATGAAAATAAAAGCAGACAAAAATGAACCATAAAACCAAATGGAATGTATTGGTAGTATAAAAAATAGCAAATTGCCACATTGATAAATATGTATAACTTGAGAAGTAACAAACAGCACTTTGTCACTGTTTTGCTATTGATAACCTATCCAATTGAACGGTTGTTTCAATCAAAATAACTACTGAAAATAAGGAATTTCTCCATAGCAATTAAAAACAGAAACAATTGTCCATTTATTTACAAATTTTTTGCTTTCTGATAAGCTAGAAATCTTGTGTACCTCGATATATGATTTCTTTTCCATGAATCACCATATTTCTGATAGAATCTTAAATGTTTCCAGTTATTGTAAGCAGAGATAAATGGTGGCTAGTAGTGGAATCCAGGAAACATGTTTCATCTTATTTGAGACAAGTCAGCTGGATGTACCTGCATGGTTATTGTTTTACAAATTTTAGGTACTTATAATATTTGAGAACTGTAGTTCGTTCTTTTGCATGAACTATGAGCAGTTTTATAATTGAAGTACCTATATATAATTAAAGGCAACACTAACAATATTCTGTGGTTAAGAGGTTTACATAAATTAACAAACCTGTTAATCAGAAACAAAACATGACGTTACTAATCAATAAATTGCAAACACAATACAATTTTAATTAAGATCATAAACTGATCAATGTTAGACCATCATAAAATTATCCCTATTGATAAATTTAACTAAACCAAGAGCAACTAACGTAACAGAATAGTATGGATTACATTTCATTTTCCTATTTCTCATCAATTGCATCCGGTCTAAACATAATAGTACTAATTATCGAAAACCAGTGTACATAGTTTATGTATCATAATATCGGAAAAGTTTCCATGAATGAAGATCAATGAAAAGAGATAATAAGTATAAAGAAACTATATGAGATGTCTATATATTAAATGTGAAGATTTATGGGTTAAATACATGAATATTCTACAACCAACAAATAAGAACATAGAAACAGAATTATTTAGAAACGAAATAATGTTATTACTTAAGCAACTCTAAAAATAAAAGTAACTAACTGGGTGGAGATCAGATAAGAAGTTGGAATTTATGGTATTGTGGAAAGAAACAAATTGCATAACAAACATTTATGAATAACTTCACCATGGCAAATCAGGGATAGTAACTAAGACTTTTGGAATGCATCAATTTGGTTTAAGTCTCTCTATGACAATTGCTTCAATGGAACGCAGTAAATTCGAAATTAGTTAGCAATCGTTAAGGGATTTGAGACATTGACACTATAATTACTGTCAAGCAAATGGTGTGCAATCGCACTGCTGAAAGCATATCCCCAATCAAGTTTAAGTTATCATGGAATATGCTCAGAGATTTGGACACTAGCTTTCTCATAACCTATGCGCTTTGGTGAACACACAAACTGGTAGACAAAATTGGAGAACAAGTAGCGTGGGAATTTGTCCACATATGAGCGTCTCAAAGATCAATTTGTTTATATAGAAAGATTAGCCCGTTACCTGGCCTATGATCTATTATTTCATCAACCTTGAAACTAAACCTCAGGAAAACAGGCATTTTCTCAACCACAGCGTACTTTATTCCCTACATTTTAATCTTACTTACTTACGCCTGTTACCTCCAATGGAGCATTGGCCGCCGACCAGCATCCTCCAAACCACTCTGTCCTGGGCTCTCCTTCTTAGTTCTATCCAATTGTTGTTCATTTTTCTAATGTCTGTCTCTGTTTCTCGGCGTAATATGTTCTTTGGTCTTCCTCTCACTTTTTGACCTTCAGGATCCCATGTGAGGGCTTGCCTTGTGACGCAGTCGGGTGCTTTCCTCAATGTACGGTCTTATCCACTTCCAGCACTTCTTCCTGATTTCTTCCTCCGCTGAGATCTGGTTTGCTCTCTCGCATAGTAGATTGTTGCTAAAAGTGTCTAGCCAACGGATCCGAAGTATCTTGCGTAGATAGCTGTTAATAAACGCTTGTATCTTCTAGATGATAGCTTTTGTAGTTCTCCAAGTTTCCGCCCCATACAGTAGAACTGTCTCGACATTTGTATTGGAAATTTTGACCTTGGTGTTGGTTGACAGTTGTTCTTCATTTGTAAATATACTGCTCCTGCTTTGCCGATTCGCGCCTTCACGTCTGCATCAGATACACCCTGTTCATCAATGATGCTGCCCAAATATGTAAAGGTTTTTACATCTTCCAAATCTTCTAAGTAAAGTGTGATTCGATTTCTGCATGCTGTCGTATCTCAGAATCTTTCTTTTCCCTTCGTGTATGTTGAAACCTACTGCTGCTACACTGGTCGTCTTCTCCTGCATTAGTTGTTGCGTTTGCGGTAAGAAGGCCAGATGATCTGTGAAGTCTAAATCGTCCAACTGCATCCTAGATGTCCACTGTATCCCGTGCTTCCCTTCAGATGTCGACGTCTTTATGATCCAGTCGATCACCATGAGAAAGAGAGAAAGGTCGAGAGTAAGCAACCTTGCCTAACACTGGTCTTTACTTCGAACGAGTCTGTCAATTGTCCTCCATGCACGATTTTGCAGTTTAGTTTATCATAGGAATTCTGTAGTGTCGAAGGAGCTTCCATAGTGTTGTTCTGTCCACGCTATCGAATGCCTTTTCGTAGTCAATGAAGTTTATGTAGAGTGATGAATTCCATTCAATTGATTGTTCCACAATGATCCATAGTGTTGCGATTTGGTCTGTACACGATCGGTCCCTAAAGAATCCAGCCTGTTGGTCCCAAAGTTGTTCATCTACGGAATCCTTCATTCTGTTTACCAATACCCTGTTGAAGACTTTTCCTGGTATTAAGAGAAGAATGATGCCCCTGTAGTTAGCATACATACCTCTAACAGCACTTTCAAAATAGTGAAGTTATTAATGTAACGATAAAAAAATATTTTAGAAAATGAATGATATTGCAGAAATATTCTAAGCTATAATTTGGAAAACAAACTATAGAGGGTTCACCTAGTGAAGTTGGAAATCCCTGATTCCAAACCAATAGTGTACATGGGTTCCATGATCCTGGTGGAAAAAATGGCATATGAACCTATTGTCTTCCACCGGCTACCATGGGACTACATCTCGTGACGTTGCTCTACTGCCCTGTGAATTAGACCTTAAGGTCAAAGGCTCGGAGTGCGGCCCCCTAAGAAAACCGCCTGCTTCCGTTTGGGCAGCCGCGTAGTATCCCAGCTCTTACATAAATCGAATAATTTATGTGACTCATATCTATTTGGTGCCTTCTGGTATCAATGTTTATGTGTTTAAATAAATAAATACATAGAGAGAGTGAAAGGTAAGCTACACTGAACACCTGACTAGTCCAATCTGTTACATAAAGATAAACCAAAGAGTTTCGACGAATCGAATCGTATTAGGATTCTTTTTATAAATAATTAAAATTAACCGTGAGAATAAAGTCTAAAAACTGACTAATAAAATAAAGTCAAATAATAATAACAATAATATCGTCAAAATCATGAACCAATCTAAGTTAGACCACCACTCAAAACTTGTAAGCACTGGACGGCCATTTCGTCCTAGTATGTGACTTTGCAGTAGTGCACATCAACAACCCCATACTCATGACTCGAACTCAGGACCTCAATACTCACACGAGAACGCTTGATCTCTAAACCACTGAGCTGGCATACACAGGTGTTAATGTCTCGCTTTAATCAACCCATAACATTCTGAGACCATCTTCCAGTGGTGGACTAACTTTTCATGATTTCAATAAAATTCAACAATCTCCATAACTCCATAATAAAAATAATCATGTGCTCATTGGTGACTAGATTCAAGAAGATATTTCCAGAGTTCTAATGAGAAGTAGTGGTCAGTGCAGCAAATTTGCATCGTGTATGAAACAGCTACTAACTGAAGACAACTGACATTGATCGCGCAATGTCGCCAATTAGTTCAAGTCAGACATTAACACCGTTGTATGCCATGTCAGTGCTGTACAGGTTAAGCATTCGCGTGCAAGACCAAAAATTCTTGGTTCGAGTCACGCATGTGGGTGCTCGCTCCTGAAGAATCCTATACTAGAATGATACTATCATCCAGTGATTCCAGGCTTTCAGTGGCGGTCTAACTTGGATCAGTTCATGATTTCAATAAAATTCAATAATTTTCACAACCTCATACTGAAGATAATACTATCGTAAGTGAATGATATCGCTTTCATACATTCAAGTTTTTTTATTGTTGACTTCCCAATTACATACAAGAAACCTAAACTACTATACATGCAATAAATATTGAAATGTAGAAAGAATATCCATAAGAAATGAGAAACATAAGCTGTTTAAATGAACTTGTATTTTAAACAAGTATGTAGTAAAACATGTTTGAAAGATTAGAACTGAAAAAAAAGTTAAACTATACTAAAACACTATGAAAAAGAGATATCCTGAATCTTCTATCTTGTGTACAAATTACTCTAAATAATATATAATATGAGGCAAATTTCTGTTACCATACACTTATGTTTCATCGAAATACAATAATTGAATTAATATGCTTAACTACAAAAAGTTCTTTTTATTGTTTTGTATACACTTTTTTTAATAATCTAAAACAAATCAATAATCGAGTAGGCAAAAATACTTTTTTCCAATATGATATAAAGAAACTGTTATTATATATTTTTTATACATGAATTGAGCATATTACAGATTATCATTCACATAGAAATTTGTATTAATACTATTTGAATGTTTTTCATTGAAACTATAGAGATTAAATCACAATATAACTAGTTTTATAATTAAAAAAATAAATAAATCCAAACATGCTAATATCCAAGATGAAGAATGTATTGACTGAGTTTGTTTTTCACTCTTTAAAAGATAGATAATGTGAAAACAGTTTTCATTAAATAATAGAAGATTTTATTTAATTGATAAGATAATATTTGATAAAAGTTAAATATTATCTTGATCCTTTCAGGAAAGTAAACTAACTAATGGAATTTCAAGAACAAACAGTTTTTTGAAAAAAAAATGAGCCAGGTAATCGAATCGCATACTCTTATAATTTAAAATTGTAAGGGTTCACGCTTTAGTGACTTTAGCATACTTAGTTTTCCCTTCATCTGACTTTTGAAGAAGTAACCAGATTGAATTTTATTTATCAAGTATATTATGAGACGAAAATGTTATATGAACGAAACCATTAGTAAAGGTTTTCGGATCAATATGAATAGCGGCCAACTACTGTAAGAAAAAAGGTTATTTTAACAAATATTTACAAGTTAGAAAAGCGTAAGACTGAAGTTTGCTGTAATATTCCATATGTGTGTTGTGCAGAGAATTACTTACGATAACCAAACACATGCTATTGAATAAAGCCATTATTATTAGTCTATTAATGAAGGTTAACTACAGTCAAATAATAACGATATCATAAATGGATAAATCATAGACCACCATTGAAAACCTGGAAGCACTGGATGGCCGTTTCGTCCTTGCATTGGACTCCCCATCAGTAAGCATCCACGATCCTGCACGCGGGACTTGAGTTCGGGACCATCAATCTTACGCGCGAAAGCTTAACCTCTAGACCACTGAGCCGTCTTCTAACGGTGTTAATGTCTCGTTCAAACCAATACACGATATTCCGTGACCGTTTCATACTAGGACGAAACTGACGTCCAGTACTTCCAAGTTTTCGAGGGCGGTCCAACGTTGATATATTCATGATATCAATTTAAACCCAACAATCTCCATAACCCTATACTGATAATCTAATAATAAGGTTCAATAAATATCCTCTGGTGAAAGAGTGCAGATGTGCACACGTCTTCAGAGGAATAAATAGGTTAATAAAAGCCTGGTGGCAGGAGAATCTGGGTCAGAATCGATCTAAATAACCCAGAATTACTCACTTCTCATTATCTATACATTGAAGATCCCCATTAAATATTGTACCTCATACCGATTAATATACTTTTATTTGTCCTAATATCCTTTTAAGTTTTTGATTTTATCATTACATGTCTACGTGAAGCACAACAACAGGAACGTATACACCTTTATGTCAGGTAACTCGTGAGTTTTAATTTTCACAGTTTTCGCGTGATGATTCGCTAATCCCATTTATTTCCGGTTTACTTACTGAATTATCCAAAACATTTTCATATCACTAAACTATTTCACAACAAGAATAGTGAAAAAACACAAGTCAAAACTAATATACTATAAACAGTTAACTTAAAAATAATGTTCATAACAAAAACCCATTTCAAAATTAATGAATTCAATCACTGATAAAACATTTTCCATAATGCAGATATTTGCCGTCGTCAATATATGCATTTCCTTTTAATCAAAATCTACTATTTAAATGAAAATATTTACTGTATATTTTATTTATTCAGCAACAGTTGTGTACACTTTTCATCTAGCTGATGTGTAGAAAAGTTGTTTTGCAAGGCTACTATTACTGTCAGTAATTGTAGTATGCGTAAACACATTACACAAAATAAATGATGTAATCTCTTTATGATCAACATTGTCAACTGTAGTTCTATTTATATATACAAGTTCAACTTAACAGGAAATAATGTCAACAAAATATTAATGATACATTAAAAAGAAACAAATTATAACCAAATCAAAACTCCTACTTATTAATCACTAAAGTTTTAACAAATATTATCGTGTATAATCCTTAATCCCGGTCAAGTTATATCAATGAGATTACAACATGACCAATAGTCTGAATGACCTATTATGGTGATGTACTTTATGACACATCTTTGAGTTCAAGATAGTTGGAAGAATCTGAACACAGATTTTATTCAAGCTGAAACTCAGATGGTAATACGTGCCTACAATCTAAAGAGAACTAATGCTACACGTTGAATTTAAACATACATCATCCAGTGTCACATTTAATGACATAACCAGTAAGCGATTTGATCAATCTCTACCCAGCAATCAATCAATTGTAATTATATTTAGTACAAATGTTCTTCCTTAAGAGAAAGATCAAATACAACAATAGTAATTTTTTAAAACAGAGAATCATAAATATTACTAACTAATCAACTTACTTCATTGAGAAATTCTATCATTTTATCTGCATGTATGTGACTTTTGCCTTTTGATCTACATAAAGAAAATACAAAAACATATAAAGAACTTTCAATGAATTCGATAGGTTAGATCACTTCAATAGAAGTAGGTATACTCACGTTTGTAGTCACATATTCATTATTATTATTTGTTGAGATATTCATTAAAGTGAAAATATATCCATTGTTACAATACAATAGTTCGAGAGTGAAAGAAATCCTATTACCCGGCTAATTAAATTAAATTATATTAAGTTTTGATGGTGAAATGCAATATAAATTGAAAGCCAAAAACAGAGTCATTCTAAAAGAATTAAAATACAAACGTCGTTAATTCGTAATTTACTCCAAAGGTGAATATTCTAAACGAATAAAAAGTTGAATTTACAATCTAACCGAAACCAGTTATCAATCACTTAGTCAGATTAATGATAAATAATTCCGAGTATAGCATAAATGTGTATCAGCTGAAGTTGTCATAATTTAAATAAATAAGATGTAAAGAAACTTTTTCTGGAAAGAATGAACAAGAAACCGAACTAATTATAAAATTAATTAAAGTGAAAATCAAATCAACCATTCAAAGGATTTATGGAAAATTTATAACAGAATTCAAGAAAGTATATTATTATTAATACAGAAATTGATTCAATTAACATGAGTGTACTTTTGTACTTCAAATGATCTTAAACTAGTCACTTTGTTAATAATTGAATACGAATTGTATTTTTTGTTAATTTGGCTTATTTTCTATAAAACACCAGAAAATACCCATATATATTAGCTAAAACAATAAGGCGATAACTGGATAATTTTATTGCGAAAGAGAAGCATTGAAATGATTAACAATAGAAGTGAAGAGTTGTTTTTTATAGACAAGCACATTCCAATAAGCAAAAACTTATATATCGTTGAAATACGGTTTTATAAAATAATTAATCAACAATTACGTTTTTTATTACAAGATGTAGGCTAAATCGGGAAAATAAAGCAAGATGAACTTCTACCCTAATTATTAAAATTAATACAATGTTAAAATTCTAACAACAATTATTCTAGACATGGATAACGTAAACAGAGCGCGTTAGTAAACTTGTTTTTTTTTATAATTTAATGATCAATCCGAAAATATGAGACCAATAGTACACCATGATAATACACTTATCAACCGTATACGAATCAAAACGATTTTGTATAATAATTAATTAGCTAACACTATGTAATACAGTCGGTGATAGTAGAAAGTCGCTACAAATTTCGATATAAATTATTCTAATCAATTAAATAATGAAGGGTAAAAACTCGATTAGTTTGAAAATGATTTTTGTAACATGATATTTTGACGGAGCACTTACAGGGCATTAGAAAGATAATTTGACCGTGTTTGCGAAACGAAAAAAATATAGCAATTCATGGTAGGTTATAATTGACCACATATAACATCAGAAAAATAAAAGCAATAGGTGATTACTAGTGGATTTCAGACCTTATTTGATCATGAAAGATGCGCTTCATGGGAAGAATTAAGGACTATATGCATGACAATCAATCAAGTACATAATTTACAAAAAATTGGAAATTTGCTTAAATCTTTAAAGTTGGTGAACTATTTGATAGACAGTAAAATAACAACTGGTAATAATGACGCCACACAAATGAGGGAAAACGATCGATTAAAATTTAATTCTACTAATCTACCGTATTAAATAACAATTAAAAAGGTAAATATTATGTGCAGTAATCCCTAGGGAAGTTATAAATTCCTCGTCAGTCGAAGATAGGTTAACAGCTTACAGTGAAATAAATTTAATTATTATCCAAAAGGGAAAACGTTTTGTTTTTAAATGTAAAAAGAAAAAAAACATTTCAAAGGATAACCACGTTTACTTGGTATATAATAAGCGATATGACGTCTTATGACCACTGGAAACATGATATGAAAGATTTACGAATTCACAAAATTCAACTTGAAATAGTTCATAACACCTATGTCTGATGAATTCAAATTGTTCTAGTGTATTAATTATAAGGTAGCAGTAATATAAGTAGTAAAGAAATACAGTGAAAATACACTCAAATAATAGCATAGAACAAGGAGAAAAATTATCTACTGACAGATAGACTTACAGAGATTTGAATAAATCTTCAATATCTGTACGAGGACATATTTTATGATATAATTCGTAGAATTTTTCAAATGGGAATTCATTTGGATCAATATCATCATTCTAAATTTTGAAAAAAAAGCGCGACGAATGAAAAGTAACAATAATACTAATTCTATTGGAATCATGAACAAATGTTAGAGCACTATTAAAAACCCGGAAGCACTGGGTAGCCGCTCCGTCCTAGTGACGGTTGTGAGGCAGTTATCTACCGAAGACAATGAAAAATGGTTCAGCACCATCGTGGATTCTAGGATGAAACGACCTACCAGGGCTTCCAGAATTCCAAAGGTGGTCTAATATTAATCGGTTCATGATTTTAATGTAACTCAACAATCTCTACAGCTCTAAACTGAAAATAATAATAATAAAAATAACAATAATTATTATCATTACAACAAGCAAAGAAAAATTTAAAGAATACCTTTCCATGAGGTAAATTTAAATCTTTTAAACTTTGATATACAATTCGTTCATTACGACCTGAGGCAAATGTTTTCATAATTACACGAACAGGAATTCGATTACGGGCATTCAAAGTTAATGTAAGTCGTAGCCAACTAAAATAGGAAAGTAATTTTTCTTTAACAAACAAATTCATAATTGCAAAAATTAAAAAAAGACGATTTTTATAAGTGTAAACATAACGCAATCAATAGTGACTATTTTATATTTCAAGATGTAATGTAAAGAGTAAAGCTGAAATCTCTTTGGAGAGGACAAAAACAAATTACGCTTCCCGATACAGAACTAGCTGTATATTCATAGGTGATTACAATGAGATGACAACACAAGTTTCAATTACTTCTTGAAGTATTATTTTAAAAAATTACATCTCATTAACAAGTCTAATTACAAAGCTATGAGGATAACCAGTTTTATCAAATGAAAATCTAAACAATACACAGTACCACATACTAAAGTAAATGAGCTATTTCTTATCCATTTACTGAAGCTGTTTAAGCGACAATATAATAACCACGTGTAGGTAGGATAGTAGTCTAGGTATGGTAGGATAGAATTGAAGAACAGAGAATAACAGTAATCGAGAGATGAAATGAAGAGGTATTTAAAAAAGGAACACTGAATCACAAAATATAGAAAAAGAAAGATGAAAGTTGAATAAATTAGCTCCATTGTAATTGATTTTTAGCTAAATCACTCAACGTCTACAACCACTAATCTCGGTTAACACTTGCATCCCGAATAAGTGGTCTGCATCTACCAACATGACTCAGGTAAACAGTTAATGACTTCGCAGAGTGACTCTAAATTTTCTATTTTTAATGCCATAGATTTCTTCGAATCCGTTTCAGTAGCAGCAAATACAGTTCAGCGAGGCACATGATAGTGAAGCATAAATAACATATATCGTAACCATCTCAGTCGATAAGGATACAATAACTTATCAATGATATGAATCCAGGATACTGTTGTTGTTTGAAATTATGTTCTACATTACAATAGCAAAACGACCATCAAGCTACTTACTCTATGTAAGGATAAAACATTGGGAAGGAAATATTTCACTAACATTTACTTATCATTATTATTATTCCATTCAATAGAAATAAATTAAAATGAATATTACTTACTGTTTTCTTAACTGAGTCATAGGACAAACATTAGCTGCTTTGGTATTATGTGTTAAACTACGAAGAGATTGTATCCAAAACTAAAAAGATATTGATAGTATAACAAAAAAACAAATATGTGAAGTTTATGTAACGACCATATAGTAATAACAAAATTGAACATTGGACACAAAGTAACAAAAATTAAAACTAACATTTACAGTAATATCATGTCAAGCAGTGAGGAAAATATATTATTATTCATCAAAAGAGAAACTCGTAAGTCAACTATAGTGTTATTCAGGAGATTTATTAATTTCAACTACACCATTTAATTGTTATTGTAACTACTAAATATCCAATTCTTCATATAGGTAAATTTATGAAGATTACAGAGATTCCAAAGTTTGAATCTTGAATTTCTTTTAATTAGACGACTACTGAAAATCTGAAAGTACTGAGTTACTGTCTCATCCTAATCACCTGAGTCGCATTGGGATCCAAGTGTTAATCAAAATTGGTGGTTGGAGATGTTCAGTAATTTAACCCAAGACTGATAACAATCTAGTAGATTTATTCAATTTTTATCTTTCTCTACATTTTTATGATTAAGTATTTCTTCATACATACCAATTCATTCCATATCTCCTTGTAATGAACAGAACACGGGTGGGGACAACCGAATGTATTTAGCACAAAATTACAGAGTTACTCCATAAAATAGAAAAACCATATAGTAAATCGTTAATTTGCAAAATATCATTCCATCATATCAAACCGGATTGTTGCTGTTGCAATCATCAATCCATTGTCTCACTTTTCATTGTTCATGCGTTTTCTCACAAATTGCATTGTGTTCCCGCTCCTCCTTTCTTGGTTTTCTCCCATCTTCTACCGACAGACATTAAGCTTTTAACTCGCGTCATATACTACTTACATCATCATAAGTAGCACGCACCACATCCTTACCATATTCTCTAATATTTAATCTTTTTTATTATTGTTGATACCACATTATTTTGATAATTTTGTTATTTATCTTGTTAATTTCAACTTGTCAAATTACTGTGGTATAGTAACTTAGATCAAGGCATATTTATGGCAGACCGTAACATTGATTAAAACAGACTGAATAAATGAATGATAAGAAAATATTTATAAAATTGAATGTTTGTAATTCACAGTCCAACAGAATCCTATTGAAAGTTATTCCGATTAACACTGAAGACAGACATATGAAAAACTCTTTTTTTTTCTTTTAAAGTAGACTAAATTTTTAGATAATATAACAACTATGAAAAGAATCATATGACAAAGAGAAAAGAAGAAAGAAAACACCCATCAGAATTGACTTGAATTCACACTGGAATAATGTATATTTTATTAATTAAAATCAAAGAGAAAAAAGTTATCAGAATTTTATGTAAATCAATTTGATTTTGATGAAAGATTCAGTTAACCAGCAACAACAACAACAACAAAAAACACAACAGAAAGAATAAAAATTACAAAAGATATACACAAATAATGATCTTTACAAAGAATAAATAAATATTTAATGTGATTAATTATCTACAACTATATTGTCTACTTATTTTTTACTTGCTAATAAAGAAAACTCTTGTAGATATTGAGTATGATAATGAAAAAGAGTTAAATAGAAAAACAAAGTTGAATGGTAGTTTCTCTCTTTTTCTAAGACATTATTTTTTTAAGACCATAAATCAATTGATGTTAGACCATCATTGGAAACCTGGAAGCACTGAACGGCCGTTTTGTCCTAGTATAGGACTCTTCAGCAGTGTGCATCCACAATCCCCCAAGCAGGATTAGAACCCAGGAACCTCGGTCTCGCGCATTACTGAAGAGTTCTATACTAAGATGAAACGGCCGTTCAGTGTTTCCAAGTTTTCAATGATGTTCTAACGTCGATCGATTCATGATCTTAATCAAAAACTTAACAATCTCCATGACCCTATACTGATATTATGTTTTTGCAATAACACGAATAATCGAAAGTTGATTCAATATAAAAATAGATACGACTAGATAATAAGATTGTAATTTTTTAAATAAAAAGTAAATATATCTCAAGATATTTTCATTCAGCTAATGATTGACAACTGAACGAAAACAGACACGGCGCGCTGTAATTAAAAAGATGTAATTGACAATTCTTATATTATGATTCTGATCTATTTGATTAATCTAAATTAGATTTCACTGTATATGCTTCTGCATTGTTGATTAAATTTGTGTCAGTATGGGAAGTGATCTAGTATAGTGATCTAATTAATGATTTTAGTGTATCGATTGAATGTTCTGTTACTACCAATCATTGTAATAATTTGAGTGCAAGAATATAAAACTTGTTTTTTAAAATCTTATATCAATAGTGGAAAGAAAAGAAAAAGTCAAAATTATAGATAGAATACAAAGAAAAATTGGACATTCAGAATAGATCATCTGCAATACTCAAAGGTGTGGAAATAACTAGAAGAAAATGAGCGATTTCCGATATTCTCATTGTTAAGTTGATCATTGGAGAAAACAGTGTGTTGATTCACATCAACAGGTTTGAATAATTTTAAATATTCCAATTATTTTTCAAGTGAATGGATGCAAGCAAATTTAAACAAACCAATAATAAACGTACATACATTGTAATGTAAAGAATAAATAATTCGATGATAAGACGAACATTTATGATGATATATTTTAGCAATATTAGTACGACTGCTAAATATAAAATGAATGCATTACTCGATTTTTCTTTGGCTTTTATTCCTTACATACGCACTACATTAATTAAAAGCCCTCAAATGACCTGGTAAGGTAGAGGATTGAGAGTCAGCTGTCTCTCAGCCATGGATATACGTTCTCTTCCAGGGAAATCCTATACACTGCCTTCTCACAGCAGGGATGTTGTTCACGAAATTGATGGAACAAAAAGCCAATGTCCAGCGCTCTAATCGAGTTTATGGGAATGGAGAAACCACCCTGATTTCAAACTAATAGTGCACATGGAACCCGGGATCCTGAGGAGAAAAAAGGTGTACGAACCCATTGCTGGTCACCGGCCACCATAAGGTTGCATGTGCTAATGTTGCCCCACTGCCTTGTGGATTAGACCTCTAGGTCTAAGGCTTGAGATATGGCCCCCTAGGAAAACCAACTGCCTCGGTTTGGACGCCTCGACAGCATTCCAGCCTATTTAAAAATCGAATGATTTGTGTGGCGCATATATATTCGTTGCCTTATTGTACCAATGTGTATATATTTAAATAAATAAATATTAGTTATAAAATAATGATATTTTGATAATATTCCAATGAACAGAAACAAGAAATTCCGATATTTAATAATTAAGTGTAAATAATTAAATTCAATAAAATCAACACTAAATTGTATAGAGGAACAGGCAGAATATTTGGTTCATTCAAAATCAAAATCAAATAACATTGGAATCATGCACCCATCTAGGTTAGCCAATCATTGAAAATTTGCAGGCACTGGACAGGAGTTTCGTCCAAGTATGGGATTTCTTAGTCATGCACACACCTAAGACCATACAACGGAGAGTCAAACAAAGGACCTCAGGTCTCGCGCGAATGATTAACATCTACACCACTGAGCCCGTATACAACAGCACTAATGTCTAAATTCAATCAATCAACGAAAATGAGCGATGATTGTCTATTGTCTTCGGTGTATGACTGCCTAATAATTGATACGGTTTAGCTCCAGTGCTTTCAGGTTTTCAATGGTGGTTCAACTTAGATCGGATCATGGTTCCAGTGAAATTGAGCAATATCCACAACCACATGGTGAAAAATCAAATAACATTTGATTATAACAATGCTAAATCATTTATGGTCACGGTGATTATTTGTGAGACATTAACTGTGTGTATTTGTGCGTACGCTAGTGGGTGTGTAAAATAGGAAGTTTGTAATGCGAAGGAGTAGAATTGAAATTTGAATGTGTATGTTTACTATTGCTATGGGAAGTACGTAAAATTTAATGTGGTTGTTCGGATAAACGGTTCAAATTGAACGGATAATCAGGACATCCTTTATATTAAGAGCACAGGGACTAAGCATCAAATGAATCGTTCCACATATTCGGCTTTCTTGATCATGGTAAAAAACCTCCCTGAATTATTTTGATATTCTCAATATCGATATAATGGTTCTTAAAAATAGCATGAATGACTATTGTCGATTTTCCGATTCTACAGGAATATTAAGTTTTTCTTGTGCAGGGGAAGCTGTCACTAAGTGTGAGTTATAAAAAGACTCCGCAATATACAATGTATCATACTCGACCCAACGCAATATGTTGACGCAACTGTGTAGAAAAAAATGATCTTTTCCTTTACTCGGACGAAAGAGCTTCGAAAAGTGTTGGTTATAAAAAGCGTTATTTCTGTGTAATTTCAATATTAGTTGTAATCCATCTGTTGTAACATGGCAATAAAGTAAACTCTGTGATATCAATCCACGACATTTCATTCGAATTATTATTGGGAGATAGATCAATTCGTTTCAATAAACCACAAGATGTTTATTATATTATTTTATTCCGTTAGCTTTTCTTTTTTGGTAATGATATTGATAGCTATTGTAAATAGATTTAGAGCCATAAAAAGTTTTTGCACTGAATGGATGTGGGGACTTAAAGCGTTTCAAGAGCTCATTAAATTTATTGGGATCTTTACTATATAATGATGAAAATATTCATCTCAGTTCACCTTCGTAGTTATGAGTATGTCAATTTCTATGATAATTTTGCCTTGAAAATATCACAGATTGTAAGCATCTGATGAGAATTTAGATAAACTAAATGAAATTATATTATTATGAAACAATCTATTTTTTTATTTCTTCAAGATAATAAAGAAATTTACATGTGTAAAGTTGGTGTATCAACTTGAATGTGCCAGTTCTCAATAGATGATTAACTGTAGATTTCCATTAGAATTCCTTTTGACTAGACAGTCTACAAATAATAGTTCATTATGTTGAAGCAATTATCAATATATTTGAAATTTTAATAGTTAAGATCATGAGTCACCATGGAAAACATGGAAGCATTGGACGGCTGTTTCACCCTATTGTGGGACTACTCAGAAGTGCGCATCCACGATCCCGCCCCGCGAGCTTCGAACCCAGGACTTATCGGTCTTGCGCGCGAACCCTTAACCTCTTGAAATTGCCAAGTCTAAACTGAACAACGATATTTACATACTCCATTATTTTTACATTTTATTATTCTCATAGGACTTTTTCTAATCATTAGGAATTTTATATGAATAAGAAACTGTAGACATATTTTTTGTTAGTTAAATATTCTTAACCAGTCAATTGTATGTATATTAAACTAAACTTAATGGAATTAAAATATTTAAAACGGTAATAATGATCATTGTCATTGATAAAATAATTTTCTTTCCTTTTTTATAATAAAATTTCAAAGTTTAAATAATTCAATACACTTACAGAAGCGGTTTCAGCATCTTTAGCTACCATATGAGTATAATTAATATTTACCAAATCTAAACCACTGCATATTGTCACAATACGATCCCATGATTTGCCAGATTTTTCTTGAATTTGTGCAGTCAACTTTTCATCCTTTTAACAACAAAGAAGAAAATTAATACCGAAAAAAGAGGGAAAATAGTAAAATTTACCCAATTATTTGTTTACAATTTTATAGAAAATTCAATCATAGTTATATGTAAGTGATAGTATTCAAAAAGGTTTTAACAAAACATTTCCAACGTTTAAAGTTGATCACTAAAGAAATGTATGCTATTGATTAGAACTAGTATTAACTCATATTAATATTTGTACTAAACAAATACATGGTTTTTTTTAGTGGTAGGATCTCCTTCTTTTTTTAATTAAATTATTCTCTTGGTTTATTCAGGAATTGTTGTTGGTTACAAATATCTTACTAATCAGTTGGAACTTCAATATTTACTACTACTGAACTTCGTGCAAATATACTGAGTTTCAAAAAAAAGTCTAGGGAATAGTCATTTTTATTTAGCCGAAACAGAAAAAGTTTACATTATATTTATAAACTCCGCTTAATAAGTGTATCAAACAAACCTCGCTTCTAATAATAAGAAAAAAGACTCCTTTTACAAATAATTTTCCTTCTTATAAGAATAAACAGTTGTACAATTATAATCTTTCATACAAAATAATTAGATTTTATGATATACTTTCTAGAAATAGAATAGGATTCCAGAAACATTTACATTGTGTAAATAAGTATAAGACTGAAAGATGACAAATTAACTGAAGTATTTTGTTGTATTATACTATTTGCTTTACAAAACAAAAATGACAAATAGACAGAGATGGATGGTGCCTAGCAGCGGAATCGAAGACGCGAGTTTTGTCCTATTTGGTACTCGTTAGATGTTCTCTCCGGGATTCGAACTCAGTGCTAGTCGCTTCTAAAGCCGTCGTGTTATCCACTTAGTTGCTGGGTCCAGATAACCACTAGGTTATACAGTTGGGTCCGGGAGTGGATGTCAACGTTATGATGCAGGTACAGAGCTGACGAGTCCCAAATCGAACGAAATTCACGTCCTGGATTGCACTACAGCAACCATCCATCTTTGCTTATAATGCTTGTGACTTAAGGCAATATTCAAGAAATCTATACAGGATGCACATATGTCAATAAGAGAGACACCAATGGGAAGATCCAAACAAGTAACACAGAAATGAATTTAAAAAAGACAAACCTAACAATCATAAAAATAAGTAATAATATATTTACAACTAAAGAATTTTTCTAAAAACAATCCATAAAACTGTCATCATCAAAAAAATTACTGATTATACTTTGGTACATTGCATCTTTAATGAACTCTTCAGATGATAAATAAACAAGTTTTACAAGTTATGAAATTATTATTGAATATATAGATGAACAAACGTTACAACAATCAAATTAGTTCATTAATAACTGACCCAATTATGCGCTTTTATCATAATCAATAAAAAATAAACAACGTACTTACTGCTTTTACTACATATGCCATTAACTAATTTCATCTGACTAAATAGGAAGTATTGTCTTGCTTTACATCACATCTAACATAGTGTTCACAATCTTTGTCAGATATAATTTATGCATAAACTAACATATGTCATCAATGAAAGTTTTCTATTTATAAAATGAAAAAGTATGAGGATATTATTACAAATACAAAACAAACGATAGAAACCGAGCAGTAGCCACAAAAACATTTACGTAATGTTAATTGATAAATTACATATGATATAAAGCTATCGACGCCATAATGTCAACTATTGATTAATATTCACTAAGGTTTGAGGAAATGAACGGAATAGTATGATGACTTAAGTCTACTGAATTAGATTATTTTACATTATTTTGCTTTAGTAAACGTGATCAAGACTGACAATAATCGATTGTTCAAAAATGACTACACTATGAAAACTGGTTGAAATCCTGCAAACTAGTAGGAAGAAAAACACGCGATTACAAAAGAGTACTCAACATTGCCCTTTAGTTTATTTATTATAGTCGCAAGCACCAAATGCCAAATTACTTCATCATTCTGAAATGCATCTGTTGTCTAAAATAAAGGAGTTAACTGTGGAAAAAAAGTGACGTGTTTTAATCGTTAATATAGAGGATTTCATCGTTGATCAGTATTGAAAAGATTCTAATTGTTATATCATTAGTATAACGTCAGTAGTGAAACCATTAGTGAATGTTAAAGTAACCCGTAATTAATATTTTATTTAAGCATTTATCGTATACTTATTAAAAAAAAAAGACATTTACAGCAGACATAGTAAATAAACAATTGGTTATTACTTAATCAAGTATTTTGTAAAAGTTCATGTAGTTTGATGATACTTTTAATCACAAACTGATAATCATTAATTACTTGTATTGTCATAGTTTTTAGTTCTTTATCATTACTCAAAAGCAAATTCACAATTTTTTTGAGTTTCTCTATTAGCACCTAATGTTTGGTTGCTGAGTTCAAACCAATTAGTGTTTGTATTCCTAAATTCAATTAGCTTGTAAATCAAAGAAGAAAAAAACTATGAAAAGATATATACCTATGATCATCTTGAAACTACTGATAATATATCATAACATTTAATTGATGTTAAGTGATTAAAAATTTGATAATTTCATCATGTCCACAGAAAGTAAAGAATAAAAAAATTAAACCATAATTAAAATTCAGCACTCTTTAACTTTAATTTGTCCAGTTTCTAGTACTTTCTCCTTATTCATTATTATCATTACAATTGTTCTCAACATCATCTTTCTATTGTTATATGGTTTGACAAATCTTCATCTATTTGACAAGCGAAACTCTACAATAGTAACAATTATTATATTGTTACAGTCACTTGGTTGCAAAACACATAGTATACTTTGCTTATGATAGTATTAGAATTAAAGTGAATATAATTGAGGAAACTATGAATTTTTTTCACCGATTATCATTTATTACGACTACCACTGTTTGTTTATTTATTTGTTTGCTTTCCATAAACTTCGAAAAAAAAAGAAACAAATTACAAACGGAAAAGATAAAATGATAAATTGTTCTCTCCAGACAGTAAATGTCTATGTGTAATACATACACCTGTTAATCTAAATATGGAATGGATGGATAGATAAATAGCCAGATAGTTATAATCACTTGCACCTGGAATTTGGATCAAACCCTTCATTTATATGGAAAGAAAATAATTAAACTAATTACTATTACTAGAGGTACAATAGTTATAATAAAACTAATAATAATGATAATAGTACTGACATGAGAACTGATAAATTAATAATACACCATTTTCCCTCTAAAAACAAACTGATTGTCCCTAATTATCAACCATTTGTTATGATCATTCATGAACAATAGAAAGGATAAAATGAATACCAACAGAAGATAACAGATCATCAATGAAAATTATCTGGTATATATATAAAGACCGGAAACTATTCCCAAAATCTAATCACAATGTATACAAACCAAATTACTAAACTACTGATAGGTAGACATATAATTTCGTTTTTTTTCCTCTACAGATTACAGGAAACAGTTATTATGCCTGAGTACAAAATTATTCCCTATTAATGTATCTTCATGAAATCATCAGTTATAAATTTCAAATATCTACTGAGTTAGACTGAATTAGATATTCTCTACATTTTGAATAACTAAATTAACCTGTATGATCTAAACGTATTTTTAAATATTATGAAACATAAATGTTTTAAAGTTAATCCAGTCTACGTAAACATTTAGGGTTTCAACGTATTCGAGATTTTTTACGAAAAAAGATTACTTCAATTATATATTTAACTGCCGGGCAGAAGTTCTGTAAGATTGAAAAGTATATGTTTACGATGTTAGTTAATTAGAAATTAGATATGTATAGAATTGTCATGTTTTCAGTTATGTCATGTCATGGTTTACTGTGTAGTAGTACATAAACCAGTTCAATTTTGTTGTACTTTATTTCTATTTTAATAAACCAAGGTCACTAGAAAAGTACTCATGTAAAACAAATAATAATACAGTGATGATACAAAAATAAACTCTATATAAGATACCAGCCTGGATTTGAACTACCATGATAGAACAGCAGAAAAATTTGACGATTGGCGAAAGCTGTATTAGCAAGTTTGAGCTATATGGAGCAAGTAGTATAATACCCGTGAAACAGTCTATAAGCTCAATGAGAAGCAGATTAACAATTATCAAATATTCTTGAAACTTCTGTCGCAATTCGTTAAAGGACAATTTATCTGGCTCATTGTTCCAGCAAATTCAAATGTACTTTCCAGTTTTGCATTATCAACGAATGCCACTCGACATTCAAAGGAAGAATGAGTGTCAAAACTCTGCATAGACATCGTCAAGAAAGCTTATGTTTAATTGTCACTAGGGAAAACTAAACTTATAGTTTACAGGATAGACTGATCTTGATAAGACTGTCAAGAAGTCCCATACCAGGACGAAACAGATGTCTAGTGCTTCCCGGCTTTCAATCGAAGCTTAAATATAGTCATTTCTTCATGTACACCACAAAACTCCACAATCTCTACAAACCCTCTATGTTAGTAAACAAAATGATTATTTAAAAAACCGAAATTATCACATCACTCTTCGACTGAAGCCCTTTTACTTGAATTTTGGAAAATCACCAATTGATTGTCACCAGTTACCCCTTAAACAATTACATTCATAGTTTATATATTGAATAATTCACTTTAAGGTATAAATAAAACAAAATCGTACAACGAATGAAGCTGTTCTTTAGCCTGTATGATATCAGAAAAGATGATGATGTTAAACTTACAATAACACCATAACTATGATGAATCCAAGATATCCAGATTTTAGTAGTATGAGACAATGTGTTGTACATTTGAATCAAATTAAAAGTCCATTGATATAATGTTGGCATATATAAGAGTAAAAAAGTAAACAAAACTTTCCATATTCTCAACAAAGACGTACAGATCTCATTCCCTAAATTGTTTAATTATTTTATTTCTTTTTAGAATAATAAGAAACCTGAAGACATTTTCCGAAAAAGGTTTCACCTTATCC